GAATCGCACGACCCATCAAAAGAGCCCCTCGGATGTCAATCAAAAAACCACAAAATATAAAAAAATTCGCCTCTGGCCACATTCTTCGGGACATGAAAATTTTGAAACGTATTTATTTTTAGCAGCAAATGTTACTGTAAAAAGCACCAGCTAGAACTGTAAAATGAACAAGGTCAAGAGTGAGTAATTAAAATTAGAGTCAGAAAATTTAAAGAAAAAATATCGGAAGTCGGAAAGAAGGCGAGAAAAAGATCATAAATATCCTCAACTAGCCTGATTTCTTTCACGCCTCAATGACAATCTAATTTATGAAGCGAGTCACAAAAGTTCACGCTTGCATTTTCAGAGAGATTTTTGGAATTCGATGAGAATTTAACTGCAACAAGTTGGGAAACAAGAATTTTACAGAACAAAGAAAGATTAAAATAAATAGTCATGACAAAGGAAGTTAGAATTTATTCACAATGTATAGCGACAAATTTGAGTTGTTGCCTGACCCGAATCTCATAAAAACCCTTCATTTATTTGCACTTAGCGGATTTCGCGGTTGGGCCCTAATATTTTAGGTTTTGCGGACGGTTTTACGATCGGCCTCGGACGCGAACGCCCAATCTGACTCACACCAGTTGACAGTATGATAAATATTTATGCAATTTACATATGGGAAAAAGGATCAAATAATTTTTTTTAATATTGGGGTCAAAAAATGATGACGTAAAAAGTTTGTTAACAAAAGCTTGTTGCTTATCCATAAAAACTAAAAAAAGGAAAAAATATTTATTTTAAATATTCAAATTTCCTGAAAACAGCCAAGACCGCGCGCCAAAACATTTTGCGGGCAAATAAACAAAAAAAAAAGAAATCCGCGAATAATTGAATTACTGTTGATCCCTTGAAAAGCCATTCAACGGTAAGGATTTGGCCTCAACGCGCATTAGCAGCCTCTGTCGGGATCCCCAGCCTCATCTTTCATCTAAAGCAAGGTAATTTTAGATATTACTTTAGCTATTTTCGTTTTTTTTGGTTTCGGCAAAATCTATTGTTAAATTTGTGGTAAATTAAAGGAATAACCAATAGTATCGACATGAAGAGTTGGCTACTTTAGAAAGAAATTGTTCGGACAAGATGCGTACTTTTATAAAAAATTGAAAACATTGAACTGTAATTATCTGCAAGAGGGAAGGGTACCCTCAGATTTTATAAATTTTAATTGCCTTTCCTTTCGACTCAAACATGTGATCAAAAGTTTTCAAAGTCCCACGAAATGGTAACTGATACAATAAAAATATTATAAAAGTACAAAGGCGCTTCTAAGGTCTTCAAAATACATCACAATACAATAATATTATAGAGACGGCTACCTCAGACTCAATAAATAGTCTTGGAAGAGTCTGAAAATAAACACTCCGGTCATCTGTTGCTACCCGCTGTTTCTGTAAATCGTATTCTTGCGCCGTCCAATAACCCTTCTAATGAGATCTTATTGCCGTTGAAACAAGATTTGAATTGTGTCTGAATTAGTTTTTACAATTGGATTCTTTCTTGCATTGATCGGACCTTGTCTTACATTGTTAGATGAGATTTGAAGAAATTATCAAATGTCTTGCGTAATGGTTACCTTTGTGAGGGCAAAATGATGGTAACCCTGACAAATTATTAAAATTCTGATTTGCCTGTTGTCGCAAAACGCGATTTGATGAGAGTGGGATTCGAACCCACGCCTCCGAAGAGACTGGTGCCTTAAACCAGCGCCTTAGACCACTCGGCCATCTCAACATGCCCCCGGCTGTTTTGAAGCCGCTACTTGATGCTGCCTTTCATGTTGGCTTTACAAATTCTTCCTTCTCTTCTGCCAAGGTGCGTATGGCCCCAAAAAGGGAGATTAGATTTTTATGATGACGGGACTTTGATGCGGCCGCGGCCGGTTTTTGTCCATTCAAGAAATTTTGAAGTATTCTCGCTAGGGATTCTTAATCGGGTATTTAAAATTCTACGGGATTTTGGGCTTTATAATGTTCGCATTTTAATATTTCAGCAATAAAAATAAAAACAAAAGTTTCTGATGAGAGTGGGATTCGAACCCACGCCTCCGAAGAGACTGGTGCCTTAAACCAGCGCCTTAGACCGCTCGGCCATCTCACCACACTCTCCGCTTTTCGAAAAATGCTCTCTGAATCGGTGTTTTTTCTCGCAGCTGGATAGAAAATGGGAAAGAATTGAATGGGAAGGGACGGAATCTCGGAGTTGAAGTTATGCTTCGTGTATTTTAATTCGAGTGTGCAGAAGTCGACATGGTGGTTTACACTCGATTTTTTGTTTTGTAAATAAGATTCTCGATGGTTTCTGTGAGAAATTTTGTATTTTTGCTCGACTTTTTTGAGTTTTGCATTATCTTCAAGACTGCTGGACAATAAATTCCACTGCGTGAAAGGCCAAAAATTATTATAGGTTTTATTTTGGCGTCCATTTTGATTGACTTTTACTCCTCTCGAAGTCCCCGTTTCTCTTCATTTTTCCCGCAAGTTATCCGCCGTACGTACATCAGGGCCAACATCGTATTTCCGCACGCGTCCGCAGACGCCTCGTTCCCGACCGGAGGCTGGGTAGAGAAACGAGAGGGCGAGACCCGGCTTTCCGAGGCCCGAAAGGACATTGGGTCCATTCGGAAAAAAGAAACGGAGAGTTGAGTCCTTTTCTTTCCGCTCTCCCTCTTCCCCATGCTCTCTCCCACTGTCTCTTGGATGGTCTCTCTTTTCGAGAGAATTGTGGGTATATACATGGAAAGGGGGGAATTTTAAATATATTCTTTTTCGCCCCGAAAATTTACAAATCTATAAAACTTTTTTGTTGCTCCGGAACCCGGGATCTTGCGTTTTATCCCTTGTGATTTCGAATACAAGTAATGTGAGAGAATTCGGGTTATGTGACGGCTTTTTGTTTTGTTGCTCTTGACAGGCTTCGAATTACGTCATTCTTTTGGGATTTTTTGTTTTTGTCGGTACATGGAATATAATATCCGTTAAAAACACACGGCTTATTAGTAATTTTATACAAGACTGCGTCGTCTTAAACTAGTTGATTGCAAGTATACACTTTCCTGAGATCACCTCCATCTTCGGTCTCTCAGCGACTTCGCCAAACGGATTTACAAACTAAATTTGTTTGGTTTTATCAAAAGGATCGGCTAGAACTTTCCATTTCAAGTTTATTTTTCGATTTTTCCGTTTTTCAAATTTTGGTTCGCATCTGGCTATTACGTCATCAAAAAGTCCTAGGGCAAAGGGATCAGTGTCCCTTTGATCATGAGATATTAAAATTTTCTTTTTATGACGTCATAAATCCCACATGCTCTGTCCCGTTTTATGTCTCCACGGTATCATTAAAGTCGTTTTCACCGGCGGAAATTGCGTGTGAATTTATTTTCACCGCCATTTCCGACACCACGAATTTCCAGCAAGTTTACGCGGCATTAATTTTCTCCCAGTCGACTTTGTAATTATAGTTGACCCAGTTCCTGAAATCACACCATTCGACGATAATTCTGGCTTCTTTCTATGCGTTGTTCAGTCCTTGTTTTTGCGAATGTTCCAAGCGGCGTTCCCTCCGAATTTTCATACTCATCCACGTCCTGCTGTCTGCCTTATGATTTAGAGCGCCGTTTGCCAATTTCCTCCCCTCAGGGCGTTTCTTTCTCTGCCCATTCTCCCTAATTGAAGCCGCTTCTCGGCCCTTGTATTTGAGTTTTCCCCGCTTTTGCTAATTTCTTTTCTGACGTGGCCATGTGAGACCGTTAATCGTTTGAAGCCCCGGGGGGATGACGCCTTCGAATCAGTTTTTTCGTCTGCTTAAATCTTTGTTTTTAGTGATTTTGATTTCCATTACGTTTGAAACGGATGATCATCATGTTGTTTGCCTGGTTTAACATCTATTATTTTTTCGATTGAAATTATTTTCAATCATCGTTTCCTAGGCTTAGTTTCTCAGACTTTGATGCAATGAATCTCCACCCCCAAAGTCTCTGCAAAATATGTAATTTCAGCCAATTTGAGAGGTTTTTACTGCACGGAAGTCCCAACTGAAATTCCTTACATTTTCTTAACATTTCGTGGACATCTTTTCCCTTTTTTGCATGTGAGTAACGTGGCCACGGGGTGAGGAGAGGGGCGAGAGTGTGGCCATGGAATGCTCTTCTAAGAAATGAAGAAAGCAAAAATGGAGAGGGAAATCTTTCTTTCTCCTTTTTTACAATATTTGGTGGGGCTTGTTACTGGCCTATAGTCTTAACATGCTGCCAACATGCGGTTGTTGTAGGATCATTTTAAACACTGCGTTATTTGGTGATTTCTTTGCAAAGTGATCTAACATTCTCATAACAAAGTGCTGCTTTACCTTCGATTTTTTGCTTTTGTTCCTTGGATATTCTGCTATGACATAAGTGCCATAATAAGCGGGCAATCGAAAATAAATTCCTCTAGGCATCTTAGTATTGTCTTCAGGGTTTGACTCTTTGATCTCCCCTAAAAATCTCTCAAATCCAAAAAAACTGTAGAGTCTTCAATTCTCGTCAAAAACACCGACTTCTGGCTGACTTTCCATCAAACTCTCAACTTTTCAATATACTTTTTTCACCCCGCATTTTAACTTTTTCACGGCCAGAATCCCCGTGTCTTCTCCGGCCTTCGGAATCCCAAAACTCTTTCATGTCAAGCCCGAATTTCGTCGCGAATTTTGGGGGCGAATTTTTCGGACAGGATCTCAAGACAGGAACTTGAGGAGGAGAGGCGTCGACATGTAAATAAGGTCTTCTAAGCACGCCCGGCCATATTTACAGCGGTCCCTAAAAAGGCTACTTTAGACCAGGCCGTTTTCGCGTTCTAATCAGAAACGAAAAACAAAAGTTTTATTCTTGCAAAACTCTGAATATTCCGTGTGTGGGCCGTGTTATTCGGGTGACGCTATGTTCTGAGATACGTGTGTCTAAGCGCGGGTGTTCATTTTCCATGAAGGAGTTGTTGGCTGCCGCTCAAGAAGTCGCCGTAAGTTGGAGTGTGTTGTGAGTGATGACTGGGTAGAAAGGAATGAAAAAAGAAAGCGTCTTAAAATTGTATTATAATTCCTTTTGTTCTATGATTGTGAGGTGCATTGCTATGATTTTTCTTGCATAGTCACTAGCGATCTGGTCTCAGAGTTGACGGTGGGAATTTGGAAAATCGGCGGGGGATTTGCAAAGAAGTCTTCTTCGCTAACACGAGATCTCTATATCGGCCGCTGTGTGTGCGCACATTTATTTCCCAAACTCGCTACGTCTTGATTACAACTGAGCTCGCGATATTTAAACTCAATATCCTCGCGTGGGGGCCACCTTAATGTTCCCCGTCTGCCCTTGCCTTTACGATTTTCTCCACTTTTCTCCATCTCTTTATATTGAATAAACTTTTGATATGCAATGATTGAATCCTTGGCGGTATTTCGTGACTGTTGTTTTGCACACCGTTCCAAACAGAAAATTGAAAATAGATGGCCATTTTGCAGGACGAAATGGCTTCCAGTGGAAGCGACAACGAAGAAGCCCAATTGGCCCAGTGCCAAGCCTACGTCCACCGGCACAACATCCAGCAACTGGTCAAGGAGGCGGTGGTCAGCCTCTGCGTTCACAAGCCCGAGAACCCCGTCCTCTTCTTGAAGGAGCATTTTGAGAAGCTGAATGAACACCGAGCACAGGTGGGTTGCAAGGCTTTAAGATTACCCTCGGTCTCCAGTAATTCAATTACGAGCTGCGTGTGACATTTAGGCACCCACTTCCGGCCAGAAAAGGGCAACTTTCAGTGGCTGTGGGTTGTGTCAACCTTCGGGGAAAATATTTTGAAAAGCCATAATGAATTGCCAGGTGCAGGGGCCTCTCCTTCAAGAATGTTTTATCATTTGCGTCCAGCGTTGAGGTCATAAAATTGACGAGATTCAATAGGGAGACGCGTTTTTCGTGTTCATTTCGTCTTTTTTCTAAATTTTGAAGGGATTTTTAAGCGTAGTATAGTCAAATTTCAAGCTAGTCTGATTATTGTCTCATCATTCTAACCTTTTATTTTTCTCTTGAATATGATATCCTCAAATCTCGTCATCTCCATGACCTCAAATTACCCATGACTTTTCGCACCCTGTTTTCCTTCGCATAACGTCAGTTTTGTTGAAAGTTACACTTCTCAAAAGACAATGCCAAAGGGCGAAAAAAGTCTGCAGCCGGATCATGGCCGATTATCGAAAAGGAAACCAATTGTTTGAACCCGAGGGGGAAGGAGCCTTCAATCAGACCTCCGTCATTTATTGGGAGGCCTCTCGGACGCCGTTACCTTTTTGTCCAACGCCTGTTTTTCAGCCCCCGACCTGTTATTCAATCAAACTTTTTTGAATATTCAACCTGCAATTAGTGGGAAACGTCGGCAATGGACGCTTTTGCAAAGAGTCTATCATTATCCCGAAATACCTCCAAAATAGGGAGTGTTGTATAGTAGTGCTTATAAAGTAGTGGGTTACTGTTCGCCTATCTCTACATGAGTTGATGTTTCCAGTTCATTTTCCCATTCCACGACCAACACTTTGGGGGCAGAAGAAAGTGGCCCCAAAAGAGCGGCCAGAAGCGAGAATATGGGGCACACAAGGGCACGGTTGGGCCGTTCCTTCCCTCGTTTTTTGCACCCCCTGCGGGTCCGGAGCCGCTTTCCTCCATCGCGTTCTTTTTGTTTTTGGCCTTAATCATTCAGCTTGATTTTATGGGACTATCGATATGGCGAACGGGAGTTTTTGACGAGAAAATTGCGACTATTTACTTGCAATTTTTTCTAGAAAGTAGAGTACTTTATTTCTCAGGTTTAACAGGGCGTTTTATAACATATTTGTTTCTTTTTGATTCCTCATAGGCGTTTCCCACCCATTTCTTTTATATTAGTCACAAATCCTCGGCCAAAAGCATCCTATAATATTACTTTTTACAAGAATTACTTTTTACAAAGGATTACATTTCCTGCCGACTTAATTTCTAAAACGAATTTAAATTTGGTTTTTTATCCTTTCGTGGGCTTTCTGGGCTTTTCTTTAACTGAAAATTCCGAATTAATTACTGACTGAAACGGCCATGGAAGAGAATTGAGTCGGTCAGCTAGCTATTATAAGGCAGAATTAGACGGAAATTTGATATATGTAGTGTAAAAAAACAAAATTCCATAACGTTAGTATGTTTGGTTTACCCCGGGAATTAAACTTTTAAATCCCCCGAATGTCGCCGCATTATTGTCGAAACCAGATTAGCATCTTTTCACCTGTCTTCGCAAGGCCAAAGCTTAACGTTTCAAAAAGTTTTTGTTACTTTGTGAGAAGTCACAAGTAAACTTCATTTTTACTACTCTATTACAAGAGATTTATGTACCTAGGCGAGCGGTTTCTACATCGGAAATCAAAGCGTTTCCAATAGAAATGGAGACTTTTATATTAGAAATCAAAAACCTGGCTGCGAACATTCGATGCGTTGTGGTGTTGACATGGGCGCTGTCACTTCCACATTTCCACGTGCTCTTTGTTTTTCCAATAAAGAGTTGGAACGGCCGTTGATTTCGCGTTCCAAAGCAAACCTCGCAGGGACTATCAGCGTTTCGACGTTTTATTAGTTTTTCTGCGCCCCGAAATGATATGGAATTCGCCCATTCTTCGCCTCGCACATGTATAAATTTTTTGATTTAGGCTTCAGGAAATTGTGAGCCTCTCCGCTCTTTTCTCCCGTCCCCCCGGTCAGCCCGACTATGAATCGGTTTCTCTTCCAAAACACAAATTCGTTTTATTTTTCGGCTTCCCTCTTTACCCCCTTAGGCTGATGGGGCTAGAGAGTCGCAAAAAAACAAAAAGTCGTGGATTTTCTGCCCCCAGCAATTGCGTTTTTCGTTTGTGTTTACATGACTCGTGAGTATTTGAATATTCGGCCGTCCGTTCCCGCATTTATGGTGCCTGTCGTTCCAGTGATCCGGAAAATATTTATTCCCTCCGAAACGCGCTAAAATTCTGTCGCATGGGCCAGAAGTTGAGCTCACGACGCACGGCGCGTCACAATAACCAAGGTGGGACCGCGACCGTCAACCCCACTGAGGCTGGATCACCAAACAAGAAAAAGGTACAAGCAGGTGTCTATCAAATTGTTTATTTCTATTTTTCCTATTTATGCTCTTTATTTGCCGAACATAAGGCCCTAATAATTTCACGAGTTAGGCTATAGGTAGGAAATCCAAAAGCAAAAAACCCTCTAAAACTGGCAACCCGAGCTCTCGGCGTAACTCAATTTTCCATAAATAAATGTCACACGTAGCTGTAATAACCCCACATGACAAGCCCAACTGATCGGCTTGACGGATGTCCCAAAATTGGATTTTCATTCCCATTTTAGGAGGTCCAAGATGCCCAGGCGGAGGAGGATGATACAATCGACGAGCCCCCGCGCATCCCACAGCGCGGCCAGCGCCGATTGGGCGTGTCGGCCGAGGTGCCAGATGAGAATGAAGCCGCCAACTACGTGAAGGTCGTGATTCCAAAAGACGCCGAGACTCAGAACGCCCTGAAGAAGGCCATGTGTAAGAATGTGTTGTTTGCGCACTTGGACAAGGATGAGGAGAAGGCCATCTTCGACGCCATGTTCCCCGTGGAGAAGAAGGAAGGGGAAACCATCATTCAACAGGTAAATTTACAGTTTCTGTGCGTTCATATCTTTAGAAAATCGGCCTTATAACCGCTAAACTACATAAAATGAAAATATTTTAGGGAGAGGAAGGAGACAACTTCTACGTGATCGACTCAGGCAAAGTTGATGTCTATGTTAATAACCAATATTGCCTTACGATCAATGAAGGAGGTTCTTTCGGAGAGCTTGCCCTGATCTACGGAACCCCTCGAGCTGCAACCATCAAGGCCAAGACTGATGTGAAACTATGGGCCATTGACCGATTGACTTACCGTGCCATTCTCATGGGATCCACAATGAGAAAGAGAAAGATGTACGATGAATTCTTGTCGAGGGTACAGATCTTGGGTAAGCTTATGCCATACAAATATGTTATCACAAACTGTAACGTATATTCTGAAAATATTATACTCTTTCATAAAACGCTATCTATTTTAGCCGATTTGGACAAATGGGAGCGTGCAAATGTTGCTGATGCCCTGGAGCGATGCGACTTTGAGCCAGGAACTCATGTAGTTGAACAGGGACAGCCCGGTGATGAGTTCTTTATTATTTTGGATGGACAAGCCGAGGTCTTACAGAAGCGCAGTGATGACGCGCCTTTCGAGAAGGTTGGAAAACTTGGCCCCTCCGATTACTTTGGTAAGTTTGTTATAATCGTTAAAAATGCGTTGACCGCATCCTGATATTCTGTTCTTAATTTAATCCCGTTTACGAGCAATAAATGATATGATTTTAGGTGAGATTGCCCTTCTCCTGGACCGACCCCGTGCCGCCACCGTAGTGGCCGAGACCCCCCTGAAATGCGTGAAGTTGGACCGCAACCGATTCGAACGAGTAATGGGCCCAGTCCGCGAGATTCTGAAACGAGACGTCTCCAACTACAACTCCTACGTCAAGCTGATGACCTAAGTCTGTAACATTATTCTCATTGCCTCCCCATTGTCTAATTTCTATGTCATGGTAAACAAAATTTGCCATTTTCTCGCGTAAAGTCTACAATATATAAACCATGAATGTCTTCAAACAAAGTTAGAGGTTTAATGTTATTTTCCCTATTTTATTTGGCTCTGGCCGACGGCAGGAATGTCCTCATAATGAATATAATGAATTCTTTTCTTCTCTGCCGCCTCTGACAGACCGTGTATCGTGCTTCTTGTTGTATGTTTTGTACCATAATTACTTCTATTTTTTGTGTCATAAGATCAAAATTGAGTATTTCTAAAATACGTCTGTTCACAATTGGTTTGTTCTTTAGCCGCATACTAAAGTTTCTTTCTATTGCCAGTTCTGTGTATAATTGGTACTAAGTTCAGCGGTACTATTAAGCTCCATTCTTCGCTGTTACTCTCTCCGGTTTTTACTTCCAAGATTAGTCAAAACACCTTTAGTCTTTACAAGTAGATAGGATTTTTGTTGCCTATTTTTATTGCTACGAAATTCGTACGTAACCTGTAATGTCTGGAACTCTTTCTTTCGATTTTTTTTCATTTTGAGATCTTTGAAATATTAATTTCTTTTGTCGATTTTTGGTTTGGTAATAATTATAAAGATTTTTTGAAAAAAAAGAAAATAAATTCTTACAAGAAATGGATGACTATTCGATGATTAATAGTCTGGCTTTCAATTTCAGAAGAGGAAATGTGAAAATAACACCGTTTTGAACCCAACAAAGATGAATGAGGAAAGTGTTCTGAACGGAGACTCAAAGTTTTATCAACATATGAATCGAGACAGCAAAAAGGTTCCATCTCAACCTTGACCCGCGTAAAAGGCAAAAAAGAAAAAGGCAAGGGAAGAGCGCATTACTGATTGCAACCTGATTCAAAGCGGAACGGTTCTGCGGCATTTGAGAATTTTGTGATTTTAGCAGCTTTTTTGAAATTTTTTCTATCAGTTCTTATTAAAATAGACAAACTGGTTGTTTAGCCCCTTTCAAATTTTGCCAAATCACATTAAATTGGTGGTTACCGTACGAAATTTTGTATATTTGAGCTTTGCAGCGATACGGAAGGTTATAATAGAAACATACCAAGTGCTAGTTAAAAATTCCGCAATTTTAAAATTTCCATCAATTTACGCAGGTGAAGACCCTCAGAATAAGCTTCCAAATTTTCATCTTATTTGTGTACCAAACTAGAACTTAATTTTGTAAACCGGCACTGTTGGTTTGATTTTTCATCACGTGTTTATTATAGCCCCGCCATGACCAAGCCAACCCGTTTACTCGTAACCGGAGGTTGTGGCTTTATTGGTGCCAACTACATTAATTTTGCCTTTGATTTCTGGCCGGATGTCTTTATTGTCAACCTTGACAAGTTGATCCTCAACAGCGATATTAATTATGTTTCTGAAAGGGTCAGAAACTCCGAACGTTACAAATTGGCGTTGGCTGATATTCGCAACAAAGCGGTTGTCACGGATATCCTGGAAACTTACAATGTAAGCATTGACTACATAACTACAACAACTTGTAGATTGATTGCATCATCCATTTTGCCGCTGACTGTACTTCAACTCGTTGTTACAACGATCCCTGCGAGGCTCTTCAGAACAACGTTTTCTCTTACATTGATTTCCTGGAAGCCGTCAGAGACTATGGAAAGGTATCCAAGTTCATTCATATTTCCACTGATGAGGTCTATGGAGATTCTGATTTAACTGATGAGGAAACCGGCAAGTCTGAAGATGAGCCGATGAAACCAGGGAACCCGTATGCCGCTACAAAAGTAAGAATAATTATTTACAGCAATATTTAATCATCAATTCTGTAGATTGCTGCTGAACACTATGCAAATCTGTTCAGAGAGAGTTACAAACTGCCGATTACTATCTTGCGGATCAACAACATTTATGGACCTAATCAATGGGATGTTAAGGTATGCAAAAGATCCTCTATTGAGAGCTGCGTGGTGAATTCTAAGCATTATTACTTTTAGTTAGTGCCCAGATTCATTGACGTTGCCAGAAAAGGCGAGAAATTTACTGTACAAGGAACTGGAAAGCAATTGAGATCCTGGTTGTATGTTGATGATGCGGCCAGAGGGATCTGTTTGGCTACTGAGAAAGGAAAGGTTGGACAAATTTACAACTTAGGAACGTACTATGAAAAGAACGGTAAGAAGATGTTTTTAAAACGACATAAGAATACGGCGTCTTTCTACGATACTAAGATTACAGTGATCGAGCTTGCTCACTGCGTTCAAGCCGAGGTTGACAAACAACTTGGGCGTCCTCAACGTCCAGTAGAGTTCATCTCCATCCCCGATAGACCTTACAACGATCTCAGATACTTGATCGACATTTCCAAAGCGAAAAAGGAACTGGATTGGGAGCCAGTCATTCCATTTGACGAAGGTAAGCACATCCAAATTGTAATGGTGTGCCTCAATTAGAAGCAAACCTATGGCATTTTTTGTAGGTCTCCGTCGCGTCGTTGAGTCCGCTTTAAAGCCCCATTTACCTCAAAAAATGTTTGTGATTATCTACGGAGGGAATGGCTGGGTTGGGCAACAAGTTCAGAAGGAGCTTCAGAAGCGCCAAATTCCATTTTCTTTGGCTGAAGCTCGCGTTGGGAAAAATACCGATGCGGAGGTGAGTAAAATAAATACGTCGATTAAAATTTGAAACTCCAACAGCTTTTTGGATAATGTCATGGTTTTCAGGTTGAAAAAGAGTTGACATCTCTTCGAGGAACCCATATTCTGAATGTAACTGGAAGGACTCATGGAGGCGGTGACAAAACGATCGGATATTTGGAAGGAGGGCCCGAGAAGACTCATGAAAACGTTAGAGACAATCTTTATTGCCCTGTCAAGCTGGCACAGATCGCTAGAAAACTCGGATATCATTACACTTACGTTGGAACAGGTTATTTATTCGCCTACGATGAAGACCATCCAATCGGTGGAAAGCCATTTAATGAAAACGGTAGGGACATTAAATGATTGTAAAACGCAAAAGAAGATAATACCAGGCGTATTTTTCGGTTTTCCTCGAGAGGAACCCCTCGCGAGGGGTTCCTCTCGACGAGGGGTTCCTTTCGATGGCATTCGTATTTTTCGATTTTCAGATACTCCCACATTCTTCGGTAATTCTTATTCAGTAGTCAAAGGGTACACCGACAGAATGATAAACTCGTTTTATTGGCCCGAACTCATCAATGCAAGGATCACTCTGCCCATCAATTTCGAGCTTTCTGACGAAAGAAATTTACTTTCAAAGATCTTGGGATACAAGTGAGTACCTGTCGCAATATACCTGTAACAAAATTCCAGGCAAATTTTTGATATTCCCGTATCAGTCACCATTTTGCCCGATTGCATCCCCATCCTTCTCGATTTAATGGAAAAAAGACACAGTGGGCCCTTGAATTTGGTTAATCCTGGGCCAATCAGCTTGCATCAGATCTTGCAGTTGTACAAAAAAGTGAGAAATAGTCGTCACAATGACCACAAGCTGCACAATTAGACAAAAATTTTAATTTTCAGCACGTTGACCCTTCTCTTCCTGAATACTCAGTGATTGGAGTCGACTCCGAAAAAGGAAAAGAGTTACTGGAAACTAAAGGGAACTGTGCTCTTGACACTGCCGTTGTTCAATCTCTAGCTGATATTAAGAGTGCTGAAGAATCACTGGTTGCGCATTTCCAGAAACTTAAAGAAATTCAAAGTCGAAATCAAGCATAAGTGTCTAGACTATATCAAATTATGTAGTTATAAGATAACATTGCCAAGGTAATATAATACCGTCATAAGACAATTTATCGTATTTAAAACAGATTCCATAATAAATTTCTGCCTTCAATCGTCATCGTGATGTTCCTTGGCTTGCAACGAACCCATATCATTGTACTTCTCTCCCTAAAATAGGTGATTGAAATAAAATATTGCTAATAATCAATGAACATAAAGCTGGCGATTGTTGATTACCCACCTTATCCAATTTCTGGATATCTCTGAGCACTCTGACCGTATTATCGACTCCAATCCTAGTGATTGTCATACGGAAGTCATGGTCGATAAAGAGCGATCCTCCATAATTACAGTCCCCTTCCGAAGATGATCTATAGCCAGGAGCAGTGAAGAGAGTGATACATCTCTCCGAGAACAATTCATATCCGGGCATTGGGCATTGATGGCCACGAAAGATGACGTCAATTTTTAGGGATTGGCAGACCCTGTCAACTGCGTCGGCTCCAAATTGATATCCCATTCCTCCATTCGGATCTCTTTTCAGATTGGGCTGGAATTAAATATCAGTAAGCTTTCTTACAGGGGAAGTACCCCAAGTGCGACGCTCAGATTTTGATGAAACTTGGCACAAATTTAGAATGATTTTTTCTAAAATATATGCGAGAATCCTAGCTCGCGCTTTGCAGAAACAACCGAGATGTTTAGATCGAAAGTGGGCGAAAATTTGACACTTTTTGCGGAATTTCGGCACGAAAAGTTCCGTGCCTATTTCTACCATGGAGGGTAATGTTTCCACATAAAATCATTTTTTTCCGCACGAAACAAGAAAAGTTATGGCCAAAAAGTGCTTTTCTCTCTGTCCGCTCTCCGTGCTTAGCGTACTCTCTCGGCGGCAAAGATCGTTCAATATCTCGGCGGCGCCTGAAAAGCGCGAACTAAAACTTCCAGGAATTGTTGTTTAGTTCATGCCCGACGTGTGCTCAAAATTTAAAGAAAATCGGAGTGTCGCACTTGGGGTACTTCCCTTGATAGCCAAAAATTTACAATTCTCATTTACAACTCCTCACAAGTTTGCAGAGCCCAGAAAAGCCCAAATCCCCACCTCATATCCTCTGACATTAGAATCAGGATCAGACCAAGTCAGATCGCACTGTATGGTACCCTTTCTCAGATTGCACGGCCTCCTGATATTTAAAATGCTCTCCCAATTGACCAGCTTCGGACTCAATCCCCCATGCATTCCCAGTGCTCTTTTTCCAATTCTCACAGCCAAAGGAAGAGACGTGAACGTGTCAATAAACTTGCTCATCACTTTCAGATGACCATTTTCGTTTGCCGGAATACGGTATTCAATTTCCGACAAAAACGAGTAAGAGCGATTGATAATGGCGTCTTCATGGTTTCCACGGACAATGTAGACATCATAGGGCATACAAATCTTCATGACAAAGAGAAGAACAATCACCTGCAAGATCATCATGACCATGTGATATATTATAATTTAATGTCTGATAAATGAAGACTTACCTCCAAACCATGCCGTCCTCTGTCCACATAATCTCCCAAAAAGACACATCTTACAGTTGGAGGCCATCCATTCAGATGGAAAAAGCGCAAGAGATCACTATATTGACCATGAATATCACCATAAACTTGGCATGGAACCGGGACCTAAACGACTCCCAACTCGTCATCATACAAAATTCTATCATCCTCCTACTCTCCACTTACATCAAGAAGAGTCGCTTCAGCCAGGAATATCTTTTTGACTTCATCACAAATCGCCTCCAGCATTTTATAAGGGAATTTCATTTCTCTGGGACCAATGGAAACCATTTGCATGAGGATATCCATGAAATCAGTGACGCCATTCTTAGGGATCTTCACTTCCACAGGACCCAACTGGCGGTTGGTTACAACACTATTAGTACTGTAAGTGAAGACGCCGGTGATCACTGGTTGTCCTCTCAATTCACGGACTTGTGGGCGTTGCGTTGTACGGGCATATTTCATTTGAGACTTCAACTGCTTCATTTCGCCTTTTCCCATCTGCGGGAGGATGATCGCGCATTTCTCTTCAAACTGAAACACAGAGATAGCCATTGGACATATACCATACTATACTCCCCGCCATAAGTTTTGACCCCCCTTCTAACTCGGTCCAAAGTGTACCAATTTGGACCAAATTTGGTACGTAGTCTACTGATAACCTGGTGGTAAAAAATATCATATCAGGGCAAACCACATAGCTGTATTTCAAAATCCAGAGACAATTTTTTAAAATCACCCCCAAAAAAAGAGGACAAAAGTTTTGACCCCCCTTTAAAAAAAGTTAAATATCGCCACCGGATGTAGCCCGAACCTTTCGCAATCGACGTGCCATACCTGAATACAGGTTAATAAACGCTTTTCCGTTGAATGCTTCGTTGCATCTGAGGATGCAACGCGTTAAACCGAGTTTGGTGTAGAGCTGCACAAAATGGTTAATATCTCGCTCTAGCGCTTTCCAAATGTTCTAAATTGTGTTTATATCATTTGCTTTTGACTTGTAATCACCTGCGTTAGCCTTCTTCTTTTGAAAAAAGTCCACGATGGCCTAGCGGGGTCGATTCGGCCGATATCCAGTTGTCATGCCCAGCCTTGGAGAGCGATTTGCTCTTTGGCTAAAGGTCTAAATGTGGTTGTTAGGTCCTCAATCTGATCCTGAGACTCATATCTACTCTTAAACCAAGAATTAACTCCCGCTGACACGATCTCAAATGGTTTGCCGCCGCAACTTCGCCGATCTGCACCTTAACAAAAAAACCGAGTTCTTCAAATGGATTTTTACCGAAGAAAAATGGCTTGCATTAGATGGCCCGCGTAATTTAAGAAGCTACGGCACCCGCCGTCTACGTCTGAGACGTATCGAACGCCAAATCGCCTGCGGGGATGTGATCGTCCTCGGGGGCATTTACAGTAACGGCGAACTCAAGATTAAGGTGAATGAAACCCATTACAAAACGTGTCAAATCGAGAAATTTTACAATACTGAGTGTAAATATGGGTCTCAGGATTAGATTGAGGACCTAAAGACCACATCTAGACCTTTAGCCAAAGAGCAAATCGCTCTCCAAGGCTGGGCATGACAACTGGATATCGGCCGAATCGGCCCCGCTAGGCCATCGTGGACTTTTTTCAAAAGAAGAAGGCTAACGCAGGTGATTACAAGTCAAAAGCAAATGATATAAACACAATTTAGAACATTTGGAAAGCGCTAGAGCGAGATATTAACCATTTTGTGCAGCTCTACATCAAACTCGGTTTAACGCGTTGCATCCTCAGATGCAACGAAGCATTCAACGGAAAAGCGTTTATTAACCTGTATTCAGGTATGGCACGTCGATTGCGAAAGGTTCGGGCTACATCCGGTGGCGATATTTAACTTTTTTTAAAGGGGGGTCAAAACTTTTGTCCTCTTTTTTTGGGGGTGATTTTAAAAAATTGTCTCTGGATTTTGAAATACAGCTATGTGGTTTGCCCTGATATGATATTTTTTACCACCAGGTTATCAGTAGACTACGTACCAAATTTGGTCCAAATTGGTACACTTTGGACCGAGTTAGAAGGGGGGTCAAAACTTATGGCGGGGAGTATATAAAGTAAGAATACTTTATAGTATGGATATCAAGCTTACATATTTGCTTTGATGAGCTTCCGTAGTGGAATGAGTTTCCCATTGGCCTATTACAATCTTAGCCACAACTACGGCAACAACAACACTAACTGCAATACCGGCAACTATGTAGAGAAGGACGAATTTTTCCGCGGAAATTCTAAAAAACTAAATTAATCTTGGAGTAATTACCCTTTCTCCTTGTTCATCATTGCGAGGTAATTGTGAAAATTGTACTGTAAGTGTTCATTTGAGTTGCAGAAATTTTCTTTGCAACAGCCAAAATAAAAATAAAAAATTAGTCATCATAAAAATCAAAGGGAAGATGGATGGAAATGGCTTACCACACAAATCTGTGCTTCTTTGCTTGAAGCTGGCAAAAGTTTTCATGCGCTCCCCCAAACCATTTCTTTTTGTCGTGCATCTCAACTGACACATAATTGACGATTCCATTCAGGAATAACTCAACACAACACTAAAACATCTCCAACATTAAAAGCTCAACTCACCGCAGTTGGACGACTGCCCGCAATCGAATACTCAAAAGGTCGGATATTCAGAGGGACGCCTTCTTCTTCATAGCATCTCAAGGAATGGACTTGATCGATTGAAGTTGCAAAGACGAATACGACGGAGATCACGGCTCCGAGGGATGACCACATCAAGCGCTCCAAGAATTCGACCGTGCGGAGCGAAACTATTCTAATAAGTGATCTAAAATCCGGCCTCCAAATTCATTTCAATTATTCAAATTTGCATATTAAAATCCAAAAAAATCACCAAAACCCGAAAATTAAAAATAAATACTTTTATTTTCTCAAGTGAATGTTTTTTTCAGTGACTAGGATAGTAAAATTGATACAAGGATTAGTGAAACAACATATACATTAGCTATAAAACAATTTTATAATAATTTGGAAGGCTTACATTATTGACCTGTATATTTACAAGACCTTTCTTTGTTCATTACTAACATCAGAAAGGTTCGAATAAAGCGGGGATCTATAAAATCGGACTATCAAACTCTGAATTATGACTGAAATTCTAAAATATTAAAAGTGTATGTATATTATTCATGACATTATACTTGCTATGAACTGGATGGAGAGGCAAGATTGGGGTCGTTGACTCGATTCATCACTTGTTTTATGGCTTGGGCACAGTCGCCGGACTTAGCCAGGAGGAAACAGTGGACTCGAGTGATCTGGGTCTCTCCGAAAGCATTCTCGTAGCCAAACTAAAAGTCATGTATCAATTGTTGTCTAAAACAATACAATCTCCAAAAAAAGATAAAATTTACCTTGAAAGTTAGGAATTCTGGAACCTTCTTCTTTGATGTTACTCTTACAATTGACGGGAGTGAGTGTTGCGCAGTTAACTTGACCAATCCGTCTCCCTCGTTGTGATATACCATGAGATGAGAATATGTAACAACTACGTAGCATTTCGTGTGAGACTTGTCCTGGAACACTTCGTGACCTTCGAAATACTTAAAGACGTCTGGTTGTTTGATAACATCGCTCCACTTTTTCTAGAAAACAAATATAATGAAAAAAGACACAAGTCATCTAGTACAATATCAAAAAGATATCTATCTATCTGTTTCTGATCGCTCTCTTACCTTTTCCTTGCTTGATTGTACAATTCCCGTTCCCATATCTTCATCTCCATCGGATTCTGACTCCGAATTATTGATGGTAAACACGCCTTGCATATTCTTATATCGTTTTCCACTGCTTCGATCTGACGGTTTGGCATGTTTGAAGTTCCCTTGACTCGTCGATTCGACCATTCCTGAAACGGCAGTGGTAATAGCTTCCTTCTTGGCTTGAACGGCTCGCTTCATCTTCTCCATCATACTCTGAAACAAAGGTTATATTATATGTAGTCTATTATAATACTAATAATGCCCATAATCTATTTTTCTCACCAATTGCGGCTCTCCTCCTTTGCTACAACACTCCAAACACTTCTCTGGAATCAAATGATTGTTCAATTTGTTTAGAGCATTCATTTCCTTGAGCATTAAATGGACCGCTTTGAATCCACCATCCACATAACTGATGTTGGCAATGTTCTGTTGGAGGAATCTCGAGATGACCATCAACATCGTAGCGTCTTCTTCCGCGTCTCCTGACCCAATAAAGCAAATATGATCTTTTGGATGAGTGTTCTGTTTAAATTGCAAAAGTGACGTCATCGCAATTCGGAAGTTCTCGGGTTCATCAATGATTAGCTGACCATTTAGATTATACGCACCAAGAATAGCACCGTTGACAAAGATATTATGTGGTCGGGTATCGATGACAAAGTAATTGAAGAGCTGCTGAAAAAATAAAAAATTAATATTACCCTTGACAAGAAGAACGATCTAATACGCTTAAAAACAAAACAAGATACTCACCACAGGCGCATTTACATTCAAATCAATCACTCTCTTGTAAACTTCTCCCGCTGATACTGGCAGACAAATGATCCGATTCAATGGGAAGTCGGTAAAATCATCGACAAGATTGGCACCGAATAAAAGGCAATGGAAATCACGCCTCAATGAAATGGGAGTGTAGTTCATTGTTACCACGCACACATCGAATAGGTCAGGAATATCGTCAACCGACATATCTCGAGGGGAGACCGCAATCATATCGATGACTTCTTCTCGATCTTTCAACTTCATGATTTTATCCTTGGCACATTGGAGAAAAGAGAGAGCTATGAAGAACAGGAGGAAAGGATCTCCCTAAAACAAAAATAGTTTATAAGGTATGGTGAAAAAATTCGATAAAAAAAATTTATAAAAAATAGCGATTCTATTTATTATACTGATCAGCTCTTACCTGCTGGAAATAAAGATCCCACACGCATCGGCAGACATCTGGAGTCAAACTGGTCGACATCAGGCTTGTGAACCAGTCCTTGGCATAATGATGGGGCTGAATTTTGCGAGAGTCTAAGAATGAACATAGCTGAGGATCATGATACTGTAATATCAGGCGGAATAGATCATAAACCTTTCCATTTGTGTCCGAATACCTAAAAGTCGAAGTGTAATTAGCTCTTCTTCCAAAACAAGATGGAATGGTATATAAAAGCTTACCTTGGAATGTATTTGGTTGTGATTGAATAGAAGACATTATACAATGTGGAAGGATCAAAGTCGACGTGCAATAAGATCTTTATGATATCCAACCAACCATTTCCAGTGGTATACTCCACATGGCGCTTCTTACAGTAGAGTGTGATTAGACTTTCGACTTCATGGGCAGGTATTTTGCAATTATGTAGGCCTTCGAACATTTTTCTGGTATCCTTTCGAAGAATAGCTTGATTCTTCAGATTGTAAAGCTGATCCCAATCCAACAAAGGGTCAGGCCTATTGCGGACTCCGAGAAGGCCCTAAAAACAAAAAAAATTGACTACCCGAAGCGCAACAGTGACACTAATTACATTCACCATGACGACTTATACCTAAAACCCAAAGACAAAAACCAAGAAAGCATACTCACTTCCCATCGTTGAGACAGCGACTCCACCTTCTCAAAATTGTTGTTTCCAACATTTGTAGAAGCGGAATCCGAGGATTCACTGAGATCTTTGACCCATTCATCACTTGTGGCTCCGCTTTCATTTAGGTTCAATAGTTCGGCATCGTCCGCCAGCGATGAAGCCGACGTCATTTTGCTGAAAATATTCGATTGATCAAAAAAATTCGGAATAATATTCTCCTTCAGATCTTTCGAAAGGCCACGTCAATCGGCGAACAGAAACTCCTGTTATGAGATTGCAAAAAAAGAATTTAATTTGAAATTGAGGACCGCGAGAAAAAACGTTCAAAGACAGCCTTTGGAACTGGAAATTCAATATTCACAAGGCGCGACAAAAGAAAAGCCGTTGATTTATATTACTTTAGATGAGGAATGTGTTTTCATTGGAATCCGTATATAAAACTCTTATCATAATAGTGTTTTCGTTTGACAAATAAGACCAAGCAAACATAATCTTCAGAATGGCAAAAAGAAACAATCAAAATACGCTTTTTTACGGTTAGCAATAAGTATAACATAATCAATAGAACAAAAAACAATTGAACTATATTAAAAACAAAACTTTAAAATCCCCGTACACCTCAAAAATCCAAAAAGGGAGCCCCATTTTGAGTCAACAAACCCTTGGGCCCGTTGCAATAACAAAAAGAGCACATGTGTAATATCAGAGATGAGTCAAATCGATGTTCGCTATACGAAAAAATAAAAAAAAAATGCAAAAAATGATAACACAGAAAATGAGAGTCGACCTTACTCTTGAGGAAACGAGTTTTGCGCGAAAATTGCGTGAAATTTTTATTTTTTTCAAAAAATGCGCTTTGAATTCCCCGCGCTTTCGGTAATTCTCGCAAAGTTTTCGGCATTCTGCCTTTTGGCGCAAAAGGGATGAAAAATTTCATTTCAAATCCTCGAGGTTTTGAGATTTTCCCGCACTTGGCCAATTGGGTGCACTACTGTTCTACCGTATAAAGTTTACTATTTACTGTATATTTATCTTTATATCGAGCTATATTAACTATACTAACCTTGCTGCGAATGGAAGGATTGTTTGCCTATCAACGGGTCATCTGTCTGTTGGATGTGGACTGTTTTTACGTACAAGTCGCTCGAAAGTTGAATCCGGAGCTTGTGGGACAACCGACGGTCGTTTGCCAGTATGGGCATCGAGATCTGTAAGATAAATTTTATTGTATTCGATTGTCGTTACTAAATTTATTGTTGCGCTTTCAGCATTCTCTCCTCGAGTTATGAAGCCAGGAAAATGGGTGTGAAGAAAGGTTTTCGTCTGGCCGAAGCCCGTCAAGCCTGTCCAGATGTTAAACTTTCTCGGGTACCTCAATATGAAGGGATTGAATTGGCTAACCTGGAGTATCATTAGTAAGTTGTACAAATTAATGTTTTTGACCACTGGAACATTGGCTTGGTCCGTCCTCACCCCTTTTCTTTTTTCGTCGACTCCTGTGCTTTTTATTTTCATTTTTAGCGAGGAAAGTGCCAAGATTTTTGAGACAGTCGCCGAGTTTTGTGGAGCAGATGCAATTATTGAGAGGGCTTCCGTTGACGAGTGTTATATTGACCTCTCGGTTGTAACGCATCGAGTTATCAACAGTCAAGGGTTTATTGATGTTCTCAAAAGTGAAGTAAGTGGATTTCAATTTGGTTATCATTGTTTAGACTCCTCCCGACATTCTAAAAAACGTCTATATTTATCCGAGGACGCCTTTGGCCGAGAACATCAAAGAGATGAGTGAAAACTCGGATTTGAATCTTCATCTTCTGGTTGGCACCTTTGTAGCTGCACAGTTATGTTTACAGATCAAAAAGCTTACTGGCTATGAATGTTCAGCTGGCGTTGGCATGAATAAGGTTGAAATTATTTCTTTTATATTTTTTTGATCCATTTTTATGGGAAGTGTAATGTCCAAATTTTAGATGCTGGCTAAAGTCGTTTGTGGGATGAACAAGCCTAATGCTTTGACAGTTTTACCAGTTTACAAGATCGAAGATATGGTGAAATCTACGAATTTGAAGGAATTCCGAGGACTTGGAGGTCTCTATGGGCAAGAAATTGTCGACAAGCTCAATGTAAAGGTAAGTCCTGTTAGTTTTTCCTTTTTGATTATATATTTAGAATCTCGGAGATCTTCAATCTGTCCCTGATGATGTTTTAAGACAACATTTTCGTTATGGAATAGAGAAACTTCGTCAATTGTCGTATGGGTTTGAAGATGAACCAGTGGCTGATAGACTGTTTTGTAAACAGTTGTCCTTGTCGAAGCAGAATACTAGTCTGGCCAAGGAGGAGCTCTGGGACTTTACGGAGAGAATGGCGAAGGTCTTTGTTAATAAGTGCCTTTCTGACAAGAACAAGGTAAAATTTTGACCTTAGTTTAGAGACTAAAACTTGGTTTATAGTACAAACGAATTGGAAAAAAGATGGAAGTGACTGTGATCATTCAAGGAAGAAGAAAAACGAAAACTCTGACGATCCCTGGTTGTTATGGGCACGGAGAACCGATCAAGACCTTCAATTTGATGATGAAAAAGTTTTTTACTGATCTCTACGGTAAAGAGAAAGTTGTTGAATGGTAAGGAAATCTTTGGCTAATTGAATTGTTTCTTCCGTAGGGCCACTCCAATCACACACATTGGCCTCAGCGTGTCAGGATTCGAGCCGGTTCCCTCAGATGTTAGCTTGATCTCCGATTATTTCAAGGTTGCCGTAGAAGATATGGATGTCCGTCCAATTCCAAGGCCTGCTCCGGTTTATCAACGAATGATAGAGGCAACGAAAGAAAGGAAGGAAGTCAAAAATGGTAGAAAGAACAAGAAACAAAAGGAGAAGATGAAGAAAGCGGAGAATAATCAAAGTTTATCGCGGTTTTTGAAGAAACCGGTGGTCAAAACGGTCCATGTGGAAGATAATGAAGTTATTGAGTTGGACAGTGAAGATGGCGGTGACGTTAACCATGAGGAAGGTGTTCAGATTTTAAAGAATAAACCAGCATCGACCAAAAAACAAAATCAATCGACTGGACTGGAAAAATGGCTGAATAAAAAGAAGATTCCTGAAATAAAAGATCCCCTGGATGATGAAATTGAGATCCTGGAAGTGGAATGTGCCCGAGGAGACGACGAAATGCATAAATTACCGGATAAGCCAGTTCCTATGGATGGTATGGATATAAGTTTGGACAATCTTCCTGATCCAGAGGATCCATTTGCACGTCCATCAAGTGATGCGGAAGTTGGATTCCCCGTTCCAATGCGAGATGAAAGTCTGGATTTTGACGAAGAGGATAGTCCGGGACCTTCATGCCGAACGAAGAAGAGAATGAGCTGTAAGTGTGTTATCGATGACTCAAAGTAGTGTAGAAATGTCTTTTTAAGCGTTGGAATTGCTCGAAATGCTTATAAGTGACGCAGAAAGCAAACAAGGTGCCTCTTGCGATACGAGGCCACCAAAATTGCTCAAAAGTAAGTGATATGGAGGTTATGATTCACACTTTCTATTACTTTCCCTGATGACTTTCTTATACCGTTTTAGGAGAACCACTCCGCGAGCTAACCCCGAGCCCAACATTTGCCGAATATGGAGATTGTCCCATGCCTCTTACGGAAGATCTCGGCGACTTCAATATCGATTATTCCATACCTCCAGTTGGCCACGATTTCTCTCCAAAAAAGTCTGAACCCACTGAAGATAAACTGGCCGCCTTTGGATTTCCCGAAGAATATGATCAGCTCGACCCTGGTATAATCCAAGAAATGACTCCGGAGATTCGCTTAGAAATCCGACGGAAGTATGGACTGGAAAAGGAGAACTCCCCGCCGAAGGAAGAAAATCAGAGGGAGATCAGGTACTCACTCTTTGATGATCTGGACAGAGAATGGAAAGAAAGACTCAAGAATAAGAAGATCCGTAGATTAAACAATGTCCCAACTGGCCTTGGAACTAGCAAACAGTAGCGTTCATATCAAATCACTTTAACATTTGATTTAAATTTTCATTTTATTAGAGATTGTAGCGATTTTAACCTGGTTGTAATGTAAGAATTGGTGAATATTTTAACAGATCTCATATCGATTAATAAAACGGGTATTTGTGAATGAAAATAAAGGAATGTGGGTTTGATTATTGGGAAGAAGTTATATTGTCCGTGATAAGGTAAAAGTTGTGCAGAACTGATTCAAAATTGTGAGGCGTGGAATGCCCTGGCGAGGTTCGAGTGAAAAGCGTCTTCGAATTCCAGAATTCAACCAGAAATAAGTTTATCGTGTAATACCATTATCTGGATTAAGTGTAATGTTTATCAACCGCATGGCACGTTCACCCACAGCAAGCATGATTTCCTCATAAACATTAAAATGGAGTCGGTCTTTCAACTCGCTCCATCGACCCCCTCCTTTTCTTGATATTTTCTTTAAACCGGAGAAGGAAGGGTATTTTCGGTAAACTTTTACTGATTCCCTAGGGCTACGTGCCTCTTTAATGCCAATATTTTTGTAGGTTTCTGTCCCACAATGCTCAGAGCACAACTTACCGCAAAAAGATTGTAGTTACTAAACTTTTTTTACTTGACTTTTTGATTAAACCCAATTACAGAGGTGAAATTGGAATTGAACTTTTGTCTTTGGTCGACTGATGAGGTGAGCGAAAGATGAATACGAATACAATTCTGATTGTTGCCAGTGTCCTTGCGTTTACTGGAGTTTGTAAGTCGATTTATGGAGTAACTTTTCGCATCTACCTTTTCTGTTCTATCAAACTTTTGGCTCATATTACTTTGGCTTTAATCTTCAAAGTTATTGTTTAACTTTGAAACAAACTTTTCATATTTTATTTTGCTTTCCACCGCAATTTCCATCACTTTTCGAGCGCACTGGCCAGTAAAGTGACAATAGAACAGTTTTGGGTTTAGTGTTGTACAGTCTTCTAAATGCCTTTGGGATTGGTCCTTTAGGCGTTAATGTGCCCTACAAGGCGGATCAATGTGCCAACTTCTCTGGGTACGCGGGATGCTCGTTGATGGATCCACAGTACGTGATTGCCAAGAATACGATCGAAAATGCTCAGCAAGTAAGTGTTGGAAGTCGTCGTATCCCAGCCCAACATTTTGAGAATATGATTTGTAAACTAAACAACGCATTAATCCCAAATTTGAAGAAAATTTAAACTGTCGGCCTGGAGCACTCCCAATTTCGAATACGACATCCATTTTTCTGATACTTCTCTTTCCAGGGACCATTAAGTGATCTTAAAACCCTCGTATCCCTATGCCGGAATACCAAAAGACCAAGTCGGAAAGACTTTCTCCAACCCTACATCGACCAATACAATACCGTAATCCGTCCGTATCTGAAGCGTCAAGAATTCCCCGAGGCCTTCGCTGTAACGGCCGCTTTCCTCAATCTCAACTTTAACTATGACTTCTTTATCCAACACGCTACCGACTTCAGAAAACGCTCAGTTTGGAGGGAAGTGCTGATTGCGCAACGGAATTATTCCGCGGTTTTCGAGGACGCAGAGGAAGTGAAGAGAACGGTAAAGGGACTTCAGATGAGTGACGCCTTGATCAATCAGATTTTGAAGTTCGAGAAGAGGCTGGTTGAGGAAAGGGAGAAGAAATGGGACTTGACAAGGTATGCTATAACAGAAAAAGCCTAAAAAATAACATTATATTTTACAAATAATACTAGTTTTGTCTGAGATCAGAGATCATTTTATTTTTATTTTTTTCAGTTTTGCCGATAATCATTACTTCAACGCCTATTTGGAGTATGTGGCCAAGTATAAAATCATCGATTCGTCCCTCTTGAACGACACTTTTGTATATTATGCCCCAGGCGAACATCCAGCAGCCTTCGATAACACATCCCCTGAGGTCATCCAAGCTTATCTCAAGGCGGTGGTTTACAAAATAATAGATCAAAAGTACGATGAACTAGCCGGATTCGACTGCAATGACGCCATTCAAAAGAGTTGGACGAAAACGGTGAGCAAATTGCTGGAAGATGAGCTCTTGCCCTCCGGCACTGAACGAGAAACTTTGGATCAGCGGATCGAGGATGTTTTCTACGACATCAAAATGACTGTCGTGGTAGGTAAATGTGGTAGTTATCGAATATAGTTGTTTCAGGAGCTTCTTCATCAGCTGGACCTCAAAGATCCCGAACTAAACCAGAAATTAGTCTCTGTTATCCCCGATTTCTGCATTCAATTCCACGCTCCAAACGCTTTGGACAAGCTCTCTGATGTCGTCCGCACTCTCAACTCTCATAAACCAGAGAGTAAATGGGGATTTGTCAAAGCTTTGACCGCCTATAAGATCAATGATGCTTTGACTGGAGCCGAGCAGAAGGTAAACAAAATATAAATTAAGTTCTATCATGATTTAGCTGGCTTGTTATCCACTAAGACTCAGTGCAAACATCCTAACCCACTTCAAATGGACCGAGGAACTTGACGATCCAACCTTTTATGCGACTGTTGGCTATGAAATCGCTCGCTTACTCTGGAATTCGATTGGAAAAGCGGCAAAACGAGAGGATTTCGATGCGTTTGCTGAGAGTCAGGCCAAATGTTTGACGCAAAAATATTTCGTGGACAAATTCTTGTCCACAGCAAGGTCCTATGATTACCTTGGTAAGCAATTTTGAATTGTCTGTTCAAACATTTGAGTCCAAAAAACTTGCAAAAAGTGAGTCGCAGCGAGCAGGGTTCGAACCTGCGCGGGCAAAGCCCAATGGATTTCAAGTCCATCTCCTTAACCACTCGGACATCGCTGCACGGGCTCCACTTCTCTTTTTTCGCTTTGTGAAAGGGAAAGCGCATGGGAGAGAGGCCTCCGGAGGGGGCTGCTCTCGACTTCCATGGAACGTGAATAAAATGGAGTTGTTTTGCAACGAATAAAGAAATAATTTTCAAAGCTTACGGGCTGTTTGAAAATTCAAAATGACATCGAATTTCGAAATGAACCCCTAAGAATCTATTATCATCAGCATCTTCAGTTCACATTGAATCTAATACAAATTATGTTTCAGCTCTCCAAACCGCATTCTCTGCTTTCCAACACCGTCAAGCCTATGGTCATAAGCCTACGGTGTTCTCCACAGAAGCACGAAACTTTTTCCTCGCTTTTCAAAAAGAACGCAGATGTTCGGATCGAGGAACTCCCATTCATTTACGTGAATTCTATGGTTTTATCAACCAATACGAATGCTCACTCAAACCTCAATGCAACATTTGGCCCGTCGCCGATTTCGAAGGCAATTTTAATCAACATTATATAACACAACTATTAAAAATCGCAGATACACAACTAAAAATCTTCTTTCAGTGTTCGTAAAGCCTGAACAATGGTCAATGAAGTTGAATCCCCCAGTAATTGATCAATCAGAGGAAGCGCAGAAATTAGCCGATTACATTGAAGAGCGGTTAGATCTGACCTACAGACCATGCTTGGACTTTTTCAAGTACACTTGTGGTGGAATGCCCTTAAGTCAATTCAACAATTATCTAAGGGATGAACAACATGAAGCTTTGGACTATTTAAAACATCTAGATGAGGATGATAAGACCGAGCTTGTAAGAAAACTGAGCGAGTATACTAATCTCACATTCGACGGATTTATGGAGCATCTGTTTGCGATGAATGTCGATGAAAACATCAAGAAAAACAATTTGAAAAAACTTGAGACATTGAAATTGGCTTATAATTGGGAGAATGTCATCGATTACGTTGTTAGCCACCAGATTGACAACTCCACTGACGAGAATATTGTTCAGTTCCCCGATGGCAATACGCCTACTCAAAGCCAAATTCAAGCGTTATTAATCGCTGTCAGCGTGGAAATGGAGAGAGCTCCGGCTAGTGTGTGGCTGGGAAGATTCGGAATCAAGATTGGAAAAGAGATTGGAAAGGCATTCGGTAACTTACACTCTGTAACCTAAATCTCGACTTTCGGAAACCCAGGTGGAAATCATCATTTTTTAGATATCTTCGGAAGCCAAATCGAAGACCTCTCTAAGACCTACAAAATCGAAGATTTGGCCAATTTCGATGATTCTGATCCCAAATACGAATCGCTTGTTGCGAGTATCAAATGCTTGAACAAAAGCTTCAACCTTGGACTCAAAACAATGAGCTGTCATAACAGAATTACCGATGATTGCGTGGAAGATTTGGTCAGAGTAAACGAAGTCGTATCCGATATTCAAGGTAAAAACTAATTTAAGAAAATTCTTAAATATTTCACCAATACAATATACCCCAGTCTACTTTATTTAGCTATCCAATCAGCCTATCGCGCCCATCGCAACTATGTGATCCGTTACGGACCCTGTAAACGTCCTCCTGGAACTTTAGTGAGCCGAATGACCACCGAACAGCTCTTGTTTATCTCGGTGGGACAATTCATATGCGCCCAAAATCAACCAGAGTACGGTATTTTCGCTTCAAAATCCGAGATACCCACCGAGAAGAGAGTAAAGGCCGCTCTCTCCAACTTCCCCTTATTCGCGATGGCATTTAATTGCCCTACGGAGACAGAATACAGACCGGACATAAGCGTTGAATGTAATGTCTTTGCTCGTCCAGTATTGGCCAAGAACCGATATCCATTTGATACTCTAGACTTCTAATTTCATATACTTTATTGTACATTACTTTCTTTAAGACACAGGGGATTTGATATGTAATAAATACTTCTGAGCGTATTTGACCGGTCGGATTATGCATGAAAATCACAAAAATCTTCGGTGCTCGTGTTTACAACCGGCCCTTCTTATTATTTTTCTATTCGGGGACAGAGTTGTATAGAACAACAGCCCCACATACAACCAGAGACCCGAATAAGAAGTAAAGCCCCAGCGAGACAGAATCGAACAACATTACGGACAAGAGGACCACCAGGATGATGGAAATGCTCGAGGCAAAGGATTTGTGAAGATTATCCAAATATTTCATTACCAACGAAATGTAGATACCGCCAACAGAAAGAGAGAGAACGATCGCCCAGACCTCAGCATTATACCCATGGAAGAATCCTTTGGTTTGGAGATGCTCACTGTCTTTGGCGAGAACCCCAACTCCAGTGGAGATGATTCCGCAGAAATACATTTGCATATTCCGGATCCACAGAGAAGTTGGAGTTCCATCTTTCAACATCATCTCGAAATAAACGCCAGCAAATCCAGCGGTGACACAAGTGGCTAGAACAGCGACCAATCCAACCACTGGATTCTCATTGGGTTTCCCGGCTGAGGAATTCTGATCTATATTGTTCAACTAAAAACATATTACCTTAGGGTGTAAAAAAGAAAAAAGTTAAGCAGAGAATACATGAACATGTAAAAAGTCAACATAAGATTATTTACCTGGACAGCCGCTACTCCAGCGAAAAGCATAAAGATGGCAACCCAACGAGTTCTTGAGAACTTTCTCCCCAAAAATGCCATCATAAACAAAGCAGTTGTGACTACTTTCAGCTGGGTCGTTACCTAAACAACAAAATTGTAGGTCATAAAACGATATCCATAACAATAATTTATAAATGTAGACTTACCTGATAAACTCCAGCGCTCAGATTTGATAAAGCCACGAAATCGAGGTTATTCTGGAGGGCATATGTTATACTAGGGACAGACATCTTGACCAGATCCATGGGTTTGTTGATGAAGTCCCGTTTGATGGTGATAATGGTCTCCCCCATATTGTATTTGTGGTCGTGGGAAAGGAGGATAAATGCAATGAAAAACTTGATCAATTCCGCGAGACATACGACTGTTGGGGCTGAGTACATCTAAGAAAATACAAAAATCCCATAAAAAGTTGCAAATTTTAAAATTTCAGACGCTCAAGCATCGAAGTCGAATAACAACCCACCTCATCTTTGCCAGTGGTCGATCGGGTATGTCTTACTAATAACGTATATCCCGTCCAAAGAAAAGTCATGGAAGTGATCACATAGATTTTGAAATTCAACGTGCTCTGACTGTTCTGTGCGGCATGTCTTTTCTGTGGCGGGATGGTAAGTTTGGCCGAAGTGGGCAGCAGTGGGTCTTGATCGTCGTGTTTACTCATGCTGCCCTATTACTCGGCTAAAACAATATGTAACATCAGTACTAAAATACGTCAGCAATAAAATATCGCGTATCTTGTTAAATTCGAGAGTTAAAACAATTATAAACAAATTGAGTCTCTAAATGTTGAAGCCACGTTTCTCTTCGTAATTTCTTTCTCCGACAGCCACATGAATAATCAAAGTCATCTGAATACTGCGTGTTCCTTAACCTCATTCCCAAAAAATACATAGAATCCGAAGCCAGTTCGCTCTCCACATTCAGCGCCATTCAGGGCGCACCCTAATTCTCCACCTTTTCTCTCCCAATTAGATAATATCGATGACGATAAGCAGTTGCGTAAATATCAGAAACGGACACCGAGCCTACAAATCAGTATTGCACTACAAGAGATTTAATAATTTAGGCGTGGAACGTCATGAGTTACCAAGACAAAGTCAAATCATATCGGAAAACAGCAACTTTATCAAGTATAATAACAAACGTTCGGTTCGACAAAGTTCTTTCCCGATCGTAAATAACTGCTCAAAATGCCTTTCAAGGTTAGGGAACAAGGTGGAACTAAAAAACTAAAAATTACACCTTGAAATATTATTATTTAGGTATAAAATCAAATTTATGAAATTAAAACTATTTAAAGTTTATTTTATGATTGTAAATCCATAAAAATCGAAGGAAAATAAGCTCCCGAAACTGAAACGGACAACCCACCCACGAGGTGTTTACAATACTTATTAAACAGGAATAAAGAAGAACGTGTTGATCTCCATAAAATTAATTCAAATCCCGGAAAACCTGCTCCGCATTACCCCAACTACTATTGATTTCACCGATAAAACACAAATACGCTAGAGATTAGAATCTGACCAAAGCCTTCACCAAATCATTTCTCAGAAATAAATTCGACATTTTAGAAGAGTTAGAGGTTCAATTGGAGAAAAGGGATAAGATAACATCAGAAAAAGCGAATTAAAAAGATTTCAAGATGTCAAAAAAACAATGATTATATGATTATAACTCAAAAGAATTATGCATCCACAAACGTGTCGAGAATTCTATAGGAGAATGCGTCACAAAATTTTACGACAACGGAGAAAGGGAAGAAGAGACGAAAATTGGGCGCGACCTGCCGGCACATTTTTATACTATGACTTTACAACCACTTGTAAGTAACAAGTACTCAGATAGCTAACGTTTACAACAAATCGACAACCTAACTCTTTCTGCACAAAACTTTATATTTACCAACAAAACTTTCTTGTTTTATCTTCTTCCTTATGACATAACCGGAACCTTACACAGCTGACCTTTTCTTAAAAAATGAGTAAGAATCAACCTGATTGAGCGAACGAACGCATTCCGCAATATTAAATCAGTTCAGATGCCTACTTAATTCACCGCACACGTAGAATTTATTGACAAAACTTTATTTAACAAAAGGTAACAAAAGATTTTTTTTACATAACCCTTATGAATAAATTAACCTGTATCCAGTGTTCACAACACATTTGAAGACCTGTATCACATTTTCGGGAGGGGAGGATAAGAACCTTGTAAAAGTTGAAAAACTGGGAGATAAAAGAGGAACGCTACGAAATAGGATAAAGAGTCTGGGCTACCCAAACGGGAGAACAATCTAAGTATAAACAGACATACTTAACCTAATTTACAGTACAATCTGGAATAAAAAAGGAGATCAGAAAGCAATAACAATGTAAGAAGCACTTGACAGTGGGGCAACACGTGGAAAGAAATCAGGATATGGTGGGGATTAACCCGAAATTCGATTATCTGAATTTAAGTCCATCACTTCGCCGTCGGTCTTTGGGAATGGGGCTTCTTTCTGGACTAGTGTGTTTTCTTTTTGACTGGATTCTGAGTTGGTTGAGGTGTTGACTGGAGACTCTTCTTCATGTTTAACATCATCGTCTAGATTTGTTTCGTCTTCAAAAAGTTCTTCAAGGTCGGCAGTTGGATTCTTCTCGGAAGAATGTTCGCTTTCTTCGTCGACATTACTCAAATTCCGCGGAATCGTTTCTTCTTCAGGTTCTCCATCTTCTTCCGGATGTCCCAATTGAATATTCAGTTTGGGTTTATCTAAAATCACAAACAATAAAATAAAAGACCTTCAACCTACCACCTGCTTCCTTTGGAGTTGCTGGTTCACATTCGGAGAAAGTAGTGTATCTGTTCATTCTTTGGAAGTACTTATTCTGCTGTTTCGTCACCAATCTCTCAGGCACTTTAGTTCTCTTCAATCCTCCATCCCAATCCAAATCAACAAGTCCTCCCTTTTTGGCAATCTCCTTTTTCACTCTATTCGCGAATTCAACAGCAGTTTCATTGGGTAAGCGCGACATTGGCGGAAGATACCAAACATGGCAGATGATTGCCCAAGATGTCATCATCTGCATAATATATTCAAACCAGCTAACTTCACTCGAGTTCCAGAAGGCATCTCCGAATCTCGAATCGTATTTCATGGCAATTGGATAGATGGTGGTGCCAACCTACGAAACAATCAAATAATTAACAGAAGACTTACCTCGAAGGATCCCTTCTTGAACATCATAACACTAGTGTTGTTGATACAAGTGCCTTCGGGAAAAATAAGAACGGGGAGTTTGTCTGGGTCGTTACAATGGGCTTTTAAAGTATTTGCAACAAGACTTCTGTCCTTCGATTCACCGCGATCAAACCAAATATGAGAAGACGCTCGGGACAGGGCCCGTTCGATGATTCCAAGGAGACCTGAATGTTTTTGGCCAATTAGTGCGTAGACATTGTCAGTGCTCAGAATCAGAACGTCGATGGGAGAGGTGTGGTTGGCAACACAGATACCTAAAGATATAATCAAAAAAATAAACCAAAAGCTTACCTGCATTCTTTGCCTTGTTGTGAGAATCATGGAAGTAAACCAAAGCAGTGATCGCCCGACTCAAAATCCGATAGCACGCCAACATACACCTTTCATTTAACTTCTTCTTCAAGGACCCATTTGGAATTAATCCAATAACAGCTGTTGAGCAGACCAACACGATCATTCCAACAAGGAAAAATGTAAATCGAAGAGGAAGAAGGAAGCAGTAGCGGAAAAAGAAACCGATAACCCAGAGAATTGCTAGCTTCCAGCTAAAAGAAACTTCGTTAAACCATTTCGCACTTACTTGACCCATTGATAAAATGATACACTCGTTCTTGTCAACATGTTCCAAGAAGCAAGCTGTTCAGCTTGGAATCGACTGGTGACCTCGTCTTCGATGATCGCTTCGACTCCGGCCTGTAATAAAAACAACGAGGGTTGATCCACAAACGAGAAATAGATACCTTTATGAAGAAAGTTGAGTCTTTAATAACCTGCCATCCTTTGTTTGGCACAATCAGTTCATCATCGTCGTTGAAATCATCTTCGTCTAGATGGATAGCAGTTTCTCGTCGAATAATGTTGCCTAAAAACAATAAAAGTCCAATCATTACTACTTACTATGCCCAGATCCATGTCTGACCCTTCCACTTCTTCGGCTATGAGTGCTGGCATTCGAATTGAGACTGGCAGTAGATCCTTCAACTCTTTTCAATCGGTGATAATCTAACTCCTGTAATTCTGTTTCTGTGGATCCGAATCCTGACGAGGCGTTTGAGAGAACATTTTCTTCATCATCTGTTTCAGAATCCAGATTTGAAAGGTCTTGCGCTTGACTCTCTGCTCGTTTCAGCTGTCGTTTGGAAGTGTGAAGTTGGCTGGCACCCCACTAAGCATAAAATAATGTTAATATGACCATTAAGATTTAGTTCCCCTTAAATTCCAAAAAAAATCAAATAAAAAACTCACTGCAAATATCCTCAAAAGCACGGCGACATAACGTTCCCTCATTCCGAAGGACTTTCCGAACGATGCCAAAAGCACGACGGTGGCGACGAGGATGAAGAACGGTGGGAAACAGAATGCCATCAACACTAAGAAGTGCTCCGCTCCGGGCCAGAGGACCGACAGGTAAGCGGTCGGCATCGCGCTTTGTCTGGAGGCGTCTGCAGTTACTTCTTATAACCGTTTGTTCTAAAAACAATCCCATTAGAGCCTTGAATACTAAAATGGATAAGAAAAAAAACACGGCAATTCAACCGTAAGATAAAAAAACTCGGAACAGTATAACAATAATTTCTAAATGATTATCACCGTTTTCCTAAAAATTGACACCACCTTCTTTTCTCCCCGAGGGGGTTTCAATCAGAACGTTCCGGAGAACAAGAGAATCGAACGGTTCTCTTGCCATTCCAACGAATCCTGTCCAGAAAACGAACAAGATTTATTATTTGTTTTTCATTCCGGTACACGTTTAATATATTCCTTTCCCAGATAGGTGTAGGAGCCCCTAAGGGCATTAGAACAAAGTATAGAAAAATTTTTCTCTTGCACTTCACATGAACGCCACACGAACCTATCGTTTTTTTAAGATGTAAACAAAAGGCAGAAGTTAGTCGAAAATCCTATAAAAAGTCTGTTCAAATTCTTATCAGAATTATCGGTTTCAAAGTCCGGAGCTCAGAGAATCACGTGAAAAGCACAGCTTCAATGGTCAGTCAGAGCAAGAGATGATCGGAGCCAGCTACAGAAAAGAGACATTCTTCCGGTCGAAATAATTATGGCTAAAAGAAAGACGCGAATGACCGGCCACATGATCCTTCCCGCCTAAAAGAGAGCTTTTTATGGGCCATAAACAACGGAATACGAGAGTTTTTTCGTTAATACATTTAGCTCGGTAAACTACAAAAAGATAAGACTAGAAATGGAGAAGCTCTAAACCACAAGAAGCTCCCCCAATCATCAAAAAGATTGACAAAGAAAGGTTAGTTCTCCTAACAAGTGCGTCAAACGGGAGTGAACACACCTTTAAACCAGGTGCTTTACACTTTCAAAAGTTTGCAAAGATTACACTTGTTTGCAAGCGATGATGTCCATAAATTTCCCGAAATAAAGTTGAAACCCGAGAAAACTGATATATTCGTCATTACAACCTATTTTTCTCGAGGTCATTCCTAATGAAAAGAGACATTCTCATCCCATACGAGACGAGGAAAACAATCTTACCAGCCAAAACTTAGAACACCGAGAAAAAATATGGTTTATGACATTAATTTAGAGATTACGTCATCCAGACAACTCTGATTGATCCCTGGGGAAAATCTCAAGACAAATTGCTTCCAAACAGCCGATGAAGACCGTTTGTTGTTCCTAAAACAAGGAGAGAACAAGTATTTAAGCTTATCATTGTTATTCCTTTCACTGACCTCGTTTCCACTCCAAACTATTCCAAAAGACAATTCTCTACGATTTTTATTGATAACCATCCAATTTCAGAAAAATTTTCGGTTTCTATTTTTGCAGAATCAACAAAAATAGGCGAAATTACATGCAAACATGTAACATTTTACATTATAGATCTGCAAAACAAAAGGAATTTCAAAAGCAGGCGTTATCCCACGTGTTACGCTAGAACGACCTCTATAGAAATGCGAGAGTCATTTTTGCGATATTTCAAACAAAAATAACAATTTCAAAATAAAGCTGTATGCAGACGGGAGAGACTCTACCTTAAATATCAATTTTTCCAATAAACAAAGTAATAAAAAGTGAAACAGATATCTGAAGAGTAAAATTACATCAAAGAACCGAAATAGTTTATATAAAACCGCTATTTCATCATTTCTCTTAAAATTCGCAATTTTTGCAAAAAACAGAGAGAAAGAATCAAGGAATGCGAAAAACGACTTCATTGAGCACCCGAAGCCACAACAGAAACACCCCACAAGCAGGTTCTCGACGAATTTGGAACAGAGGAAAAAAAAAAAACAAAAACAATATATTTTGACATTTTGTAAAAACGAAATGCAACTATCAACTGGATGGATTTATACTTTTCTTCGGAAAAATAAAACAGCTGATTTGTGCAATCTGTACAGATTGCTGTACAGATTGCACAAATTTTTGTGGACAAAATAAAATTTAGTTCGTTTTGTGTTTAGTTTCAATGTATAACGTCAGGTCTAGCTTTATTCACAAACTCGCGTTTATTGGTTATCGTAACATACCTACAACAAAAGACCGAAAGTGAAAAATGTAGTTGACTAAAACATGAGATTTTTTGTTAGTGAGATATTGAAAGCATTGTTCTGATTTGATTTGCCTTATAACAACAATAAATTTTCGGCATTATGTTCTTGAAGAATATTATTTGTTCTAGGTAAGCGTCTTGTCTGACCGAACCGAATGTTCTGAGGCTGCAGTGCTTGTACGTGAACTGCTGGAGCTATCACCGGTTCTGGGATCGAAGAAGATGTGTCCTTTGGGATCAACGGTTCTCATTTTGAAATGGGCGGATTTCACGCGATTGTGTTTGATGGTATCCATAAGTTCACTGGCGGGGCAAGGGGGTTCTGGGGGCTTTTGGAATTCCTGAAACGTCGAAATTAATTTGTGAATAGAAACTGAAATGGGGTTGAAATATACTAGACCCACTTTTTTATATCCGGATTCCATCTGCCTTGATCCATCAAGTTTAAGAGCAGTTGATGGACGTACGGCTTTTGATCGAGAGCTTAGCGTTGGAGCTGTGTAACTGTCCTGATATGCGGAATGCCCATCTAACGTTCCTAAAATCAAATAATTTATTCACCGGAGTTACAAACAAGCCTTCTTTGCTGACATGAAGCGAGGATTCGTGTTTGATGGCTCTTGTTCTTTCAGTGTGATGTGGAATGAAATCGGTTTGACTTGTTGATCTCGCAACTTCAATTCCCTTTCCTAAGCCAAGTTGTAGATTAGAGCGTTTTTTCGGAATTGGTTGAGCTCGTTCCCCAGACTTATTCGAGTAGTCTTCATGGTTAACTGTGGTTGTCTCCATCTTTCCTTCGCGCTGAAAGAGATAGATTAAGTCAAACGTTTTTGTCTCAATGTTAGTTATCCTGAGTTTGTCAGGCTTACCTTCCACAGTTCAGAGCTTCCAGGCCTCTTAGCGTCATACCTGTCTCCTTTTGTCGGTTTGAAATCAGATTTCGTCGATGTCTGACTATTCAATTTTCCTCGGGTTTTCAGGACATTAGAATCACTCGGTTTCTTCGTATCATAACGCTCACCCTTCTTCTCGACGTATTCGGATTGTGCAACTGATTTTCCTTCCACCTTGCCTTCCCTTTTCCACATATCAGATGTTGTTGGTCGTTTAACCTCAAATCTTACAGACTGCGCAGGTTTGTATGTATCCTGAGCAGTAGTACTACTTTCGAATTTTCCTTGGCCTTTTAATATTCCGCTTTCCTCACGTTTTTGCGCCATCGATCGCTCCGGAGATTTGTGGGCTTTGTAATCACGTTTGGTCGAGGATTCTCCTTCCATTGTCCCTTCTCGCTGAAAACGTCATGTTAAATTCATAAAATATTGTTGTGGTGGTAGTGAATATCCCTCCTTACCTTCCATATATCCGAAGTTCTGGGCCGTTTGACTTCAAATCGATCTCCTTTTGTAACTCCAGCTGGTTTATACTTCTCCCCGATATGTTCGGCGAAACTCCCTTCTCCTTTCATTACTTCTGAATCTCGAGGCTTCCGAGTTTCATATCGTTCTCCTTTCTTCTCAACATACTCTGTTTGAGCTATTGATTTGCCATCGAACTTCCCTTCCTTTTTCAAAATATCGCTGTCTTTGGGCTTCGTCACAACGTAGCGATCGCCAACGACGTTACCGTAATCATCTTGTTGAACGGATTTTCCATCCATTTTTCCATCTTTCTTCCACATTTCTGATGATCTGGGCTTCTTCACGTCATAACGATCACCGACCGCTGCTCCGTATTCAGACCTATTTAATGTTTCACCGTCAAATGCTCCTTCTCCCCGTAAAATGTTCGAATCTTGTGGCCTACGGACTTCGTATCTTTCGCCTCTAATCTCTTGATAATCTTCTCTTGTCACGCTCTTTCCTTCAAACCTCTCTTCTGTTCTCCAAGAACGATCTTCATATTGTCTTCTGGCTTCATATCGATCGCCAACCTTCGGGCCATATTCCGCTCTGTTATGGGTTTCATCTGCAAACGATCCGTCTCCTTTCAGAATGTCGGAATCTGCTGGACGCCGTGGTTCGTTACGTATGCCCACTTTCTCGGTATAGTCACTTCTGATGGTTGATGTAGCATCGAACTTGCCATCCATCCTCCAAGAAGGATCTTCTCCATGTTTCCTCGCTTCATAACTATCTCCAACTTTTGGGCCATATTCGGTTCTGTTGTGGGTCTCATCATTAAAAGCGCCATCTCCCTTCAATAGATTTGAATCCTTAGGCTTTCTTGTTTCGTATCGCTCTCCTTGTTTTGCTTGGTAATCTTCTCGCACAGTTGATGTTGCTTCAAATTTTCCTTCTTGTTTCCATGATGGATCTTCCCCATACTTTTTGGTTTCATACCTGTCTCCAACTTTAGGGCCGTATTCCACTTTATTTTGAGTCTGATCGGTGAAGGACCCGTCACCTCTGAGGATGTTGGAATCCTTCGGCCTTCTTGCTTCATATCGCTCTCCTGCCTGCCCAGTGTAGTCATGTGTAAATGTGGATGTGCCGTCGAACTTTCCATCTTTGTGCCAAGATAAATCTTCCCCATACTTCTTGGCTTCTGGTCTCTCTCCAGCCTGTCCTGTGTAATCGTGAGTTACCGTTGAGGTTCCGTCGAACTTTCCATCTTTGTGCCAAGATAAATCTTCCCCATACTTCTTGGCTTCTGGTCTCTCTCCAGCCTGTCCTGTGTAATCGTGAGTTACCGTTGAGGTTTCATCGAACTTTCCATCACTGTGCCAAGAAGGGTCCTCCCCTTGATTTTTAGCTGCATATCTATCTCCAACCTTTGGCCCGTAGTCTGTTCGATTCTGTGTTTCTTCGGAGATTGTTCCTTCACCCTTAAGGATATTAGAATCCGTCGGTATTCTTTTTTCATATCGTTCACCTTGTCTTCCTGTGTAGTCTTGCATTGTAATGGAGATGCCATCTACTTTCCCACCAGTCTTCCATGACGGATCTTCAGCCTGTTGTTTGGGGTCATATCTGTCACCAACCTTTTCTCCATATTCACTTTTATTTTGAGTTTCATCCGCAAATCGCCCTTCTCCTTTTAAGATGTTACTATCCTGTGGCCGCTGTATTTCATATCTCTCTCCTTTGACATTGCTGTAATCGTCTCGGTTCACTGTTCGATCGTCCATAGTTCCCTCTCGACGCCACATTTCCGATGACTTTGGTTTTTTTGCTTCGTAACGATCACCTACTTTGGGTCCGTATTCAGCTTGATTCAACGTTTCATCGATGAATTTGCCATCACCTTGAAGGATTTGACTTTCCGCTGGTTTAACGACGTCATATCGGTCTCCTTTAGTTTGCTGGTAGTCATCACGAGTAACACTAGAACCTGCAATCTTCCCTTGCTGAGCCCAAACGTCGGATACGGTTGGCTTCTTGACATCGTAACGATCTCCCGTCTTCGCTCCATAGTCTTGGCGATTGATTGTGTCAGATTCGAATTTCCCTTCGCCATGAAGAATATTAGAATCTTCAGGTCGAATGACGTCATATCGTTCGCCTTTGGTACGGCCGTAATCTTCTCTTGTCACCGACCGTCCTTCAATCTGTCCCTTCTGGCTCCAAATCTCATCTACCGTTGGTTTCTTGGCGTCATATCTGTCTCCAACTTTGTTTCCATATTCTCTTTGATTCATCGTTTCTCCGTCGAATTCGCCAGTTCCTTTTAGAATACTGGAGTCTTTTGGCCTTTTTGTTTCATACCGCTCGCCCTGTTTTCCTGTATAATCTTGCTTTGTAGTGGAGATGTCATCGACTTTTCCATCAGCCCTCCATGATGGATCTTCAGCGTGTCTGATTGCTTCGTAGCGGTCACCAACTTTAGGGCCGTATTCACTTCTATTCAAAGTTTCATCAGCAAACGCTCCCTCTCCTTTGAGGATGTTACTGTCTTGCGGTCGTTGTACGTTATATCTTTCTCCTTTTGCATATTGATAGTCAGTTCTGTTAACACTCCTTTCGTCCATCGTTCCTTCGCGTGCCCAGATCTCTGATACCGTTGGTTTCTTAACGTCATATCGATCTCCTTTCTTCTCGGTGTATTCCAGTCCATTCAATGTTTGGTCATCCATTTTTCCTTCTCCTTGTAAGATATTCGAAGGCTGTGGGAGCCTCCGTTCATATCTTTCACCCTTCACTTCGTTGTAGTCTGACTTGGCCACTGACTTCCCTTCTATCTCCCCATCAGTCTTCCACGAAGGGTCCTCTGAATGTCGTACAGCCTCGTATCTGTCTCCAACCTTTGGCCCATATTCACTTTTATTCAGAGTGTCACTGGCAAAGGCACCGTCACCTTTGAGAATGTTTGAGTCTGTTGGTCGAACAACCTCATATCTTTCTCCTATTTTGTTCGAATACTCATCTCTGTTGATCGTCGTATTATCCATTGTGCCTTCCTTTTTCCATAATGGATCAACCTCAGGCCTCTTTACATCATACCGTTCACCTTTCTTTTCCGTAAAGGCAAGAGCAGATTGACTTTTGTCATCCAGCTTTCCTTCTCCCTTGAGGATGTCTGAATCTTTCGGGAATTGAATTTCGTATCGTTCTCCTTTCTTGGCCACGTAGTCTTGCCTTGTAGTAGATTTATCGTCGATTCGTCCATCTCGTCGCCACGAAGCATCTTCTGTATGTCTTTTCGCTTCGTATCTATCGCCAACTTTTTCTCCGAATTCACTTCGATTTAGAGTGTCAGCGGCAAAAGGATCGTTAGATTTGAGAATGTTACTGTCCTTTGGTTTCTGAGCTGCGTATCGTTCTCCTTTAGCTTCTTTATAATCGGCTTTTGTTACGCTTGTTGTGTTGACCAATCCTTCTTGCCTCCAGTAAGCATCGGAAGTTGGTCGTTTCACGTCAAATCGTTCTCCAACTTTCGGTCCAAATTCACTTTTGTTCAAAGTCTCGTCAACAAATCTTCCTTCTCCTTTCAACACATTGCTGTCTTTTGGTTTCTTCACGTTAAATCGTTCTCCTTGTTTGGCATTGTAATCTGACCGGTTGACCGAATTGCCTTCAAATTTCCCAGAATTCTTCCAAATTTCTGATTCTCCTGGCTTCTGAACGGCGACTCTCTCCGCTTTTATTGGAGTGAAGTCTTGGGCCATTGATGACATTCTTTCCATATGGTTGGTTTTATCGGTAAATTCGGCGTCGACTGGTTTCTTGACGGCGTATCTATCGCCTTTCTTTGGAGTATAATCTCTTTGGGTAGTCGACCTGGCTTCAATTGTCCCATCATGCTGAAAATTTTATTTTTTATTTTGATGGTGGTATCCTTGCCTTCCAAATATCGGATTCTCCAGGCTTGCGAACTTTCTCTCGAATCTCTGATTCTTTGATTCCGTCAAAACTATATTCCTCATGGTAGCTACTGGACATTGCATTGTAACCATTGGTCTAAAATTTTTGTTATTAGATGATTCTCGGTGAACGATGACTATCCATTCTTTGACCTTACTTGTAATGCAAGTCCTGTCAATTCTCCCTTTGGTTTTATGGGTTTGGCCCGAGCTTCGGCCGCTGTTTTTGGGGAAATGGCCGTGTAATCCTAAATTACAGAATAGAGATGGGGTGGGTTCACTTACATCTCTCTTGAATGGACTTTCGGAACTGTTCCCTAATTGCAGACTGCTGGCGTTCCGATCGTATGGGCAGTGGTGGCGTCTGAAATTAAATTATTGTTTGGTCTGAAATATATCAAAAGTAAAATTTGTAATCAAGAAAACTCACCCGCAAGTGCACAGTTGACAAATGCATTGCGGACCGTGTCTCAGGACCATGTCCCTGCGGCTGAAACAGGGTTTTTAGTGAATCACAGACCTTTAAAAGTACGGCACGACATGTCACAAGTGAACTCCTATTCAGACCAAAGATTTTAACAATAGCCGGACGTTCCGGTAGAAAAAAAATAACACCTTTTCATAGATAATTAGCTCGTTCCTCAAGTGATTATGTTCATCGCAAGTGCTACGGTTAACCGTTATTCAGAAGATATATTTAATAGGATAAATATTATATTCCAAACCTCATTACGCATTCCACAGACGTTATTGTTTTGCATCATGAAGACCAAAAAATATGCCTAACAATAAACATAAATAAGGAAGAAAGATGGATTAAAACAGCTATCAAAATAAAAAATATGGTGGCAAAAATGAAACTGAAACTAAAAAATTTAGATTGCGTAACTAATAAGAAATGAAAAGAATTTTGTTCGGCTTAAAACGGTACTGCGCGGAATTGGCTTAGAAGATGAGAAATGGCCGAACATGGAGAAAGGCCATGGCTCATTGCTCCCTAATCGAATGAAAGACGAAGAAAGTAAAAAGTACGAGCTGGTATGACCCTAAATTCGGAGTTACAGGGTCTCAAAAAATGAGACAAAAATAGATGATTGTCAAAATTATACCAGTTCCCATGGACTCTTACAAAATTAAGAGAAAAGAGTGCAGATTTGATTAATTGCCTTGTTAAATCTACAGGCTTTTCCCATGTCCAGACGAGTTAAATTTGAGTATTTTTAAGTTGACAAAACACTTCAACTTTGAACTTCCTAACTTCCTAATTGAATAATCCGAATTCAAAAAAAATATAAAAAACCTTGTTGGCCCCGCAGTTATGTCCTCATTTTATTTGTGCTCTCGCGGCCCTTCTAACTCTGTGGAAGCTGTCCCAATGACGGATTGACGAGCCCTTTTTTCGCGGATTTTTTGCCCTCCAGAAAAGGACACATCCGTTTCTCATACAATTGCAAGAGCGGGGTATTGTTTCGGCGATAAGAGTGACTTTGAGGGACAGTAGAGGGTTTCAAAGCGGCTCCGAAAATATTTAGGGACTTTAGGGAGGAGATGGATTTGAATGTTTAAGATTGGGATAATGACACTAACTAAAATATCAGGGCTTCTTCCCCGACGACAGGAAAACGCGGTTAGAATTTGAAAAAAAGTGATAAAGCTTTCATGTAAAAGTTTGCAACAAAGTAAAAAACATATTAGAAACGTGCCCGACATCCTGCGCCGTATTTTATTCTCTAAAAGCCACCGTAAAGTCTCCGAATCCAAAACATTTGCCCCTTGGTTATCAAAACGGATTTGTTCTGGCTATTCTTGGGCCGCCGCTGGTCTCGAAGCCCATTTTCTGGAGGGTCATTTTTTACACAAATTCTGTTGTCATAGTGGCCGACGTTTTTTTTGACGCGTTTGAAAGAGTTTACCTGGGGCGGTGTTTGCCCGCGACCCCCTAATTTCGAAGCCTAGGCAATTTTTCGGCGAAAGGAAGCGGAGGAAATTATGGGCCAAGATTCGAAATGGGAATATACAGGGGGTGTAAGTGTAATAAATTGGGCATAAGAGGATAGGGCGGAGAACACAAGGTTGACTTATGGTTATAAATAAAATAATGGAAGTAAAATTAGAGGCAACAATGTATCGAGAGAGAAATTATAACAAACTTTTTTGTGCCAATTTAGTCTTCAGTTAGACTAAGCCCTCGGGATTAGGGCATAGTCAAGAAATTGAAATGAAAAATTGACCGAAACAGCTTGTGGCTTTAGAGTGACTTATTCAGACATATTCCAGAATTCCGCTGGAGTATAAAACTGAAAAAAACATGTTGACACCAATAAAATTATGTTGCAATAACATGAGTGTGTGATAAAAAGTTCATTTTCCAGCATTACAAAACAATATTTCGAAAAAATTGTATAGCAAAAGGAACACTTGTCCAAAAAGGTATAAATCTCGTCTGTAAAAGCTCCACTTTGGAATGTATTGCATATACTCTCTCCTTCACATTATCGACGGGTAATTTCACTCAGCCTCTGAAGAATTTCTCTCGGCTTTTCACAGTTCCAAAGGGCACGATCTTTGAAGAAATCTGGAATAAATATGCCGTTCAATGTATAAATTTGTCCATCAAAAATTGTAGAGATTTCTTGTGAGAAAAGAGGCATCGAATTAAGTAAACATGCCAGTTTCTATCATGTCCTTGGGATTTTTTATGGAGAGCGCTCCAATTTTGGCGGGAATTTTAGCGGTCAAATTGTACTCAAATGACCTTCACAGCTCACAGGCAAAAGTTTCGAACGATCCCGGAAAAATTCCTAAGCGTAGGCTACCCTACAAAGCCCGTCTCAAGCAAAATTTGGCCTATTGGAACCAAAAATTGCTGAGAGATGAAATAAAAATTGGATAAGAACACGAAACTGACAAAAGAATGTAATAATAATTGCCCACAAGAATACGCAAAAGGGAAAAAAGTCGACTAGGTAATTACCCTCTCGCCTCGGGCAGTAAAGCAAAAAGAATTATGGGCCAACCACTTCTCGTTGAAATGTAAGTGTTTTAAGGCCTGGCCGTGCCGAGCCAAAATGTAAAAGATACGAAATGTAAATAACTTTTGCTAATTTGGTAGAGCTGTTTTCTATTTATTCGGAATCAACTCTTGACCCGCCAGGCAAACTGGACTTTGAAGTGAATGTGAGCGGAAGTCAACACTCTCTCGCCACAAAAACTATTCACTGAAGGATGAAATTCGATGCAACAAAAAAAGAAACAATAAAAAAAGTAAACTTGCAGAGAGAAGAGCAGTAACAAATTTATAAGCGGAACGGCGGAGAACGGTGTTTACCTATAGGATTCGGATTTGTTTCAGCGTCACTGCGCGATTGAAGATCATGACTGTCTTTATCAGTTAACCATATCGTAAAAAACTTTATGTGTAAACGGAGTTTTTTCTTTTTAGAAAATCAGGCCTGCCCTTAATTCTCTGTACACGATATTCTTCGAGATCTGCCTGATGAATTGACGTCATATGAATTTAATGGTTTCTGAATGGTCCCGACGTTGTGCAATAAGCTGTAAAACAGATTGAAAAAAGGATGACATGAGATTTTTACTTTGTGTAGAAACGATGACATTTGTGTATATGCCAATTCTCTGTATATTGTTTCCTTTCCGGAAATCTAATGGTTGAGCAAAATACTCCGGTAATTCAGTGAAATCTTGGAGGTCGAGCGGGGATGTCGAGGAAATTTCTTAAAAAATGGTGAGGTAGTGCGCCGAAATAGATGTTATCTCGGCGGAGTCGATTTCGCCAATGTCCTTATTTCTCATTTATTGAGTCGGTTTTTTCCTCCATTCCAAGCCTTCCAGCTCTGTCAATATCACTCATTGGATCTGTCCTGGATACGTGGTTTATACCGCTAGAAGACGTCAACACCTTCTGTCATGTTTATCTAAAGATTTCACGCCCCCGGTTCCGTATCCCCAAATTTATTGAGGAAATTCTTGTGAGTGTCGAGGGATATCCGATATCGCTTCATCTAATAATTTATTTCATCGGCGGTTCGACGCTAAATTGTGCATGATTTATGCAGCATCGACAAGTATGGCCGACTCAAATTGGAGGTTTTCTAGTCAGCGTCGGGTTTCTGACCGGGATCGGTATGTAATTGGCTAAATGTAGGACCTAGAAAGGAGCAGCTTATATAAATATTTTGTATTTTTTCAGCCAACATGGCACTTTTCCCCTCAGCGATTTGCGAACGAGGCCAAGCCGGAGCTTTTATCTTAGCTTATGTAATATGCGTTTTCCTCGTCGGTTTTCCCCTCACGTATCTCCATTTATGTCTTGGCCAATACAGTGGCTGTAACCCAACCAAAGTATTCGGCAAATTATGTCCAGCATTCAAAGGAATCGGCTGGTGTTGGTTGATCCTGACCATCCCCATGATGATCATCACCAATATGAACACTGCATGGTCTTTGTATTATATGTATATAGCTGGGAAGTCTCTTGTTACGTCGACGTATCTCCCCTGGAGGTACCATGAGATGGCGCCGAAGCCCTCGCTAATTGTTAATTTCAATTCCACTGATAGTATTGTTGCCGACGAGCCATCGGATTATTTTCAGTAAGTGCGTTTGTGATCTCTATTTCTGTTTTAGTCATATATATCACACTGCGGCACCCAAGATTGTAATGAGTTTGGGTGGAGATCTTGTGCTGCGAGTTGTGAATAAAGTTATTGTTCTTGGGAATATTGAGTGGAGGCTTGTGGTAGTTCTGGCATTGGCTTGGCTGCTTGTGACTCTGTGCACTCTCAACAACTCGGTCCACACAATGAACAGAGTTGTTTATGTCACAGCAACTCTGCCAATGGTGATCTTATTGTTGTTGTTGATTCGAGTAATCGATCTTCCCAATGCCCTAGAAGGAATCAGTTTATTATATCCGGATACTAACAAGATCTTTGAGTTTGGTGTAAGTTCCCATATCGCGCTCTTAAAATTAATGTGTAGGTAATATTAATCTATCTTTTTAGGTTTGGCAAAACGCAATCAAACTTGTTTTCTTTGACATGCAGATTGGCGTTGGAGTTTTAATTGCCATTTCAAAGCATAATCGATTCCACACAAATGTTTTTAGAGACGCTCTTTTATTGGTTGTTATGTAAGCTTCCAAATTATATATTCATCTTTTCGTGTTTCAGTGATCTCACTGTAAGTCTCTGCGCGTCATGCGTTGCTTTTGGATTTCTGGGATTCATGGCCTACCAATTAAATACCGATGACATTAGGTCAATGTGCAGAGGTCAGACGGCTCCTCATTTGATCTGGGATCAGGTAAGATTGAGCCGTTTCGGCAGCACGACACGTTTGTGGGCATTGAATAAAATAAAATTGATTTTAGATTCTCCGAGCAATCTCTTACCTTCCGAAGCACGAAGCTAATCTTTACTGTTTCTTTTATCAGCTCATGCTGGGAGTTGGAGCTTTAGAATGCTCCTTCACCCTCTGCGAAGTCTTCTCTTCCGCGTTGGATAGGAAGATCAAGTTATTTCGAAAAAGAAAAGCGCTCCTCAGGATCATAGTGGCCATAGTTATGTTTGGGCTTACGTTGCCGTGCTGTTTCCAGGTGCGCTGAACGTTCTCATTTTTTTCAATTACATAATTTCACAATCATCGTTGTGTTTCAGGGTGGGGTTTACATCTACAATCTCCTCGTTTTCTACAGTATGCATTGGAATGTCAAAGTTGTTGCGCTATGCCAATTTCTGGTTATTGGCTACTTTTACGGTAAGGAGCACAATCTAAATTAATTAACATTTCTATAGGAGTGAAACATTTATGCAAGGATATTACAAACATGTTGCGGATAAGCAAAGAGGAGGAGAAAAGAATTTTTATGACAATATTTGGGCCTACCGGTTATTATGTACGGTATTCTTGGACCTACCTTTGCCCATTTGTTGTTACTGTAAGGTTTCGCTCAGAAATGGCAAAGTTATTTTTGAATTTCAGATTGCCCTTGTGATGGACTTAATGGAGACTCCGGAACATCGGTCAGTAATGGCTGGGGACTCACAGTTGTGGCATATTTTGTCAATTGTTACTATCATTCCTTTACCAGTTATGGTTTTGTTCAAGATGGTTAGAAGGGTAGGTTGTTATCTTACACGTTCAGCCAAAAAATAAGCAAACTAAAATAAGTAACCATATTTTTAGGACAAAAAGGCCTTCAAACCCTCTGCCTGGATTGAGATCAAAACACCATTTGATGACTCGACAATAACTTCTGGTTTCTTCACGGAAACTGACGATTGGTTTGAGGCTTATAGAAACAATGGGAAGAAGAAGGATTGCACAATAAATCCAGCGATTATTGGGGTCATTGACAACAAAGCAGCCACTTTTGTAGAGTTCTCATCTAGTTCGTAAGTCACTTAATGCTTGTCTTTATAATAATTGTAAAATACGGTCAAATCAACTTTTTTAGAGCTCCTTATTGGACTCCTCTTCGGCCCATGAAAACGTCGATAGATATACCTGCACCGGTTTACAACGAAATTACAAGTACCTCAGAAGATGTAAAGCTTCCTTTAATACGAAAAGATGACGGTGATGATGACTCGTGTGAGAGTGATGTGAATGAGGAAACACATAGTCTTTCGTCATCTTCAAGTAAATCCAACAGTCTACGAGATCTTACGGGTCAGCCGATGTTTATATAACCATTGCATATGTATGTAGATGTCTATGTTAAATTGTATATTATATGTTTTTGAATTAAATTATTTTGAAAGTTTATAGCCTTCTCAACCGCCCTCTTAACCCCGTACCGCATATCCATTATCCCTTAAAGCAACACCTTTTACCACCCGGCTTACTGTATCCGCCTCTTCCCGAATTCTCAATCCTTGTAATTGGGGTTATAAGCGGGGCAATAAACACCAATTAAAAGGGTAGAATAGGCGGGGTACCTGTAATTTGGGCGCTGAAAGTTTTGCGACTTTTGCCTTCACCGCCAATGGTGTAATTTTATGTTTAGAGAAAACATTCCCGCGGCTGTAAACGCGTCGCCCAGTTGAGAAAAAGCCGAACACTGGAAGGGACCGCGGAGTGTTATGGTAATAAAAAGAAAGGCCGATCAGATGTGTTTAGTATATGATCTACATTTGATAAGGTTTTAATCTGTGGATTTTGAGGAAAAAATGGAAAAATTATTTTATTTGGTCAGTCATCTTGTAATCTCAAGTAGTAAATAATCTTCGCTTTCCATTCGATTTGGCAATTCGCAGACCAATTTGCATAACGCGCCCTCTAACCTCTCCGTCTTTGTCCTTGAATGTTGACATCGACCCGGCTTTGTTTCCATTCATGAATTCGGGGATCGGATTAAGATTGAGGGCGCTATAAATGAATTGCGCGAAAAAATATGCGGCCCACTTGTTGGCCACTAAAGCCTTGTCTCCTTATTTAACTTTTTGATCTCTACGATTGAATCATCGGAGATAAGGACCTAACTTTATTTTCCAGCTCCTAAAGCAAGCTTTTGGGTGTACTGTAATGGATGGTCTTTTGCCAAGTTCCAAGTAATTTGCGCTTATAATTTATGCAGTTTTTAATTTCTGGAATAATAATTATTTTCTCTTAATTTTCGTTGTTGTTCAACACGATCCAATGAGGACCTTCTTGAGCGATTAAATGGCTTACGAAACGGACGTTTAATCATCCGATGATTGGTCCGAGGAAATTCTTGGCATTCTAAAAAGAGTTATTTTGAATTCGGCTCAAACTTCAGTAACATGAAATACTTCATTTCTTTTTTTATCGTTGATGTCATCTTTTCATCGGACAATCTCGTTTTTCAATTAAATATTGGCCTTACGCAAGGTCCATAAGTAAGATATGATGCCGCAAGGGCAGCTGCATAATCGGCGTGTTTGATCACGACTGGTTGTAAAACCTTCAATCTAATATCCGCGAATGGTCGTATAATTATATAACCTTTTATTATGTCATCTGCTGTTGATGTACCATACAAACTCTGGGATCTTCTATATTTTTTCGAACTACTTTCTTTTCACATTTTACATTTTGAAGCTTCAACCGGCAATCTGAATCACCCGAGTCGGCCTCCCTCTGAAATATAGCCAAATAAATGATTTTCTCATTAAAATCCCCGGTTTCATTTCAAATTTTTTATAATTCCGTAGATTAGAAGCCAGAAGGATGGGATTCGGCTCTTCTTCAACAACACCGCACATCTGATTAATGACCGTTTAAGAGGCCTGGAAGATGCTAAAGGAGATGAAAAAAGCGCCAAACAAATTATGCAATGTGAAACGGAAGCCGGAGTGGCCACCTTTTCCGATTCGGCCAATTTTTGAATTTTTTGCCAAGGGAGGTGCTTAGAAAAGTATTTTTTTTGTACTGTATACGTAAAGTTGGGCTGCTTTTTGAAAGTTCTGGATCATTATCGTCAGTACTACCTCCAAAACGCAGTTCAATAACCCCATAATAAAACATGATTTGACGTTAGTCCTCTCGGACTAAATGTCCCAGATAAATCGTGTCGTCAGAAAATGTGTGAACGTGTGGGGGTAGTGGCTCCAACAGAATAATTACAAATCTCGATATTTACAACCCTTATTTTTCAACCATTTGTCCAACTAACACTCAAAATCTCCTTGTCTTACAACTATCAATTCCTCTGATTTCCCACTCATTTACATATTTCTGTCACATCTCCTTTTCTTTTCATCTACCGTCCAGCCAATGAGTGTGCGGCGATAATCTCATGAGACCTTTTTTCCTCCTTCTTTGGGCCAGTCGGCCCCTTATGAGACAATAAACGACACGAAAGTGGGCGGGAATAGAATACAGTAAAGCCATGAATGTGGTCACAAATAACACCACTTGGCGGGCTTGTCGATGGAATTTTAGGAGATTAGTTCCGCACCGTATTATGACCGAAATTGTAGGTAAAATACGGATGAAACTTTTGACGGTCTTTCGGTTGGCCCAGAATTTTGTTGTGATTACTAGTATGATATTTACAGCTTATCTAAATCCATCTGATTGTCATTGTTTCTCTTTGTTCAACCATTTTACGACTACCGGTCTCTTGTTTTACATAAAACAAATTGATTACGCAATGCCATTTGTTGCATATCTCTTTCCGTTTTGGCTTGTGGCGGCATTCTTATTCGGCAATCATTTTGGGATGCCACGCGTATTTTATTTTCTCAATTATTTTTGAGATTTATTAGTATTAAATTTGCCTACTTTAGGTAAATAATGCAAGCTTTTGATATTGCCTCTTTGATCTCTCCGACATCCCAGAATTCGTCGTTCCTCAATGCTAACCCCGCTCTGATTTCGAAACAATTCAAAGATCTTCTGGAAGCCTGTAGTAGGGAGGAGGATAACCCAGGGAATCAGTCGACTTCTTCGACCAGTTCCGGTGATGGGCAACATGAAGACGACGAAATTGGAATGCAAAACTCTTCAATTGGGCCGATTCATCGGATGGACAACTCACCATACGGATTTGGAAAGTGTAATGGTGAGTCTTATTTACTATACGGTAATACTCGAAACACCAATTTTTCATGCTTGTTCTTCATTGTTTGGCTTTGATGACTTTAGTCAGTTTTCTCGGAGTAGTTGAGGAATTCAATACATACTTCCTCGAGATGATATAGGCAACCAGAGAGGTGGTCAAAAAAAGTCGTCTTTTTGGACACCATTGTAAATTTACGGCCCAAAAGAGAGCTTTATTTCTGTAAGAAGATTGCGCCTCCGCACTGCAGACTGGCTTTTGGAGTTTTTCCCAAGGATCATTAGGATTTCGCTAAATTACAACACTAGCTTCTCGGTGATTACAGTATTGTCAGAAAATCTCTCAAGAGCTTTAAAACCCCTAAATCTATTTTTCTCCAAGTCTTTTTCGAAATCAATGTTTGACACTCGAACAAATTCTATTTGTATTGAAATTGAGATTACTCCAGAATCCACCGTACTTCTTCTGCTTTACCGTAGACCCATTTAATTATCTTGATTAAGCGCCTGCATAATAAATAATGCTTTCGTTTCTGGCCGTGCCCAATTTTGGTTATTTGGCAATTATTCGGTCCCGAGTATTTTTTATGATCCCTCAGACAAATTGACTCCCTTTTTTACGACTCCGGCATTTTGTAAACCATTCTTCTGACAGGTGCGGGAGACGCGGTTTACGATGCTTTGTCATTCCACGAAATCTCCATTAATTAATGAAAGCATGCAAAGCTGAAATAAACATGACAAATAGAGTTATTTAATTTAAAGATTAGAATATTCAGATCCATCAGTTCGGCGTTATCGGACGGCCTTTAGCCGAGAGCAAATCGATGTTTTGGAGAAGGAATTTGCCCGGGAGAATTATGTGTCCAAGATCAGAAGGAGCGAGCTCTCCCATGAACTCAAATTGCCGGAGGCCACGATTAAGGTAAGCAGCAAAATTTGTCCAACTTGCAGTACAAAGCGGCTTTATTTCTGCGACTAGAGCTACCGTAATCCATCGTACTTGTGACGCCTTTATCTGAGAATTTATCGGAAATGATATCGGATATTAGAAATGTTTTGATTCATGCGAGTTTTTAATCCCCGTCCAATTGACTTGGGAGATATTCGGAAAACACTGGTCCCACGTTCCGATAAATAAATCTTGTACTCCAAAAGATATCCCCTGGGTGCCCGGATTTGCGGAGTTTTTATGCGGCATTTATTGGAAAGCTTTTTCAATATTCCAAAGTCGTCCGAGATATTATTAGGATACTGTAAGAAGAAAGTTTACTGTGTAAAAATATGTTACTAAAGTGGAATTTGGATACTTTCAGGTATGGTTTCAAAACCGTCGAATGAAGGACAAAAGACAAAGAATGACTATTGTAAATTGGCCTCAATTTGAGCAACTAATGCTTCAAAATCAACTGTATATGTATGCATGGAGACAAGGATCAATGATGAATCCAAACATGGCAAAAGGATTCCCAAACCAAGGGTAGGCAGACAAATATTAGCCTGAAATACTGGTCGGACCTTACATATACTCAAATTAATGTTTCAGACCAATGGTCAACCCGCTTTTAAATCTCCCTCAAATGTCTGGATTCCCAATTCCATCGACGGAACAACCCCTTCCGTCCACTCAAATCATTGCACAGAATATGACTATGTCATCTCCGGATGTCAAAGAGTTTGCGAAAGAGCCTGAGAAGCACGAAAACCCAGTTACACCGACTGAAACCAGTGTGCCAAATAAGGAAGTCGAAGCAAGTGAAACGCCCTCAGAATGTTCAAAAGAATAAATCATGTGTCATGCTAGAAAATTCATTTATATTTTTAATGTGACTGTGCATTTTTCCCTGAATTTGAACGTAAATAAAGCTTATTTTGTGAAGGTAATGATCAAGAATTCAAAAAATACCTAAAACTTTTTGAGTTGTTAAAATTGAAAAATAGCGTTAGCTGACAGGGGAAGAAAGCGTTTTGAAAATTGCATATGTAGCTCGATAAAAGCACAGACTAAGCTTGTAGAGAACCTGAGGCTCCCAGTAGCATCACTGGCCCTCAAATAAATTTCTTTATTCTACCGCCCATACGCTTATCTGAGTGCCCATTACTTTTGTGACCTTCCAAAAGAACATTGTCAATTAATCATTAGTAAATAGATAAATCTTGGCAATCTGTTCTGACCGGACATTTTTTTCTTTTAAAAGACGATTTCTGAGTCAGTGCGTCAGCCGTGGACATAGGAAAAAATCGATTTTGAGTTTTTTGCATTAAAATGACTGTTGGAAGGAGCTAAGCAAAAGCGAACAATATTTTTTCCCAAATCCTTCGTTAAGGTATATTTTTTTACAATTAACTGTTTTAGAAGTAATCGCCTCTAGCTGTGGTATCTTGCCTTACAGTGCAGTGATTTGACGGCTACTGTAGTTTTTGACCCTTGCGAACACGATGGAGTGATTATTTTTGCCGGTTTCCTACTGTAACATACCGTAATACCGTATCGACCGCTAAAAAACGGTCGTAAAATCTTTGTTTCTAAAAACCCCCAGCTGATTTTTTGATATGTTAATCAGCGTAAAATTCTGCTCTAGACTCAATCAAAAAAAGTGCAAAAAGTGGTGCGACAAATTTCGTGGTGTAGTGGTTAGTGGGCGGGACTACCATTCCAGCGTCCCGGGTTCGATCCCGGCTGGGTGCAAATGTCAAAAAAATGCTGCAAATCAATTTTAATGTAAAAATAAGGAATGTCCGAAGAACAAAAAGCAATTTTAAATCATTATGACACCTCTGTTTTCGAGTAAACCCGGTTTAATGTAATCTTAGCGGCTGAAAACGGAAAAAATAAAAGTGCTTCAAATGTGATAAAATTTATAGATATGCTTCTACAGGTGATTATAAGAAACTTTTCAGTTAGTCTTTTTTTGTAACTTACAGTATAACGGATTACTGTAACATGAAACTATTTATAAAAAAATCGATTTTCCCTTCGATGTTCTTGAAAAAAGGTTGGGATTTTTTGTTAGACCGCTCTGCCAGCAAAAAAAGTCGCCTTTCGTTATCCGAAACAAAATTCCAAATTATTTCGAGTATGTTCTGATGTCATCGTTGATCGCTAATACGGTGAAAGATTATTCAGGTATACCAAATCATCCTGCCATAAAAAATATTTTTTCTCACAGATAAGCTTCTTGGTAATAATTCTGCACATTATGACTTTACTTCCAGCTCTCTTTTCGCCATGTAGAACGCAAAATACGAAATTCTGCATTATGCTACAGTAATCCGTTATACTGTAAGTTACAAAAAAAGACTAACTGAAAAGTTTCTTATAATCACCTGTAGAAGCATATCTATAAATTTTATCACATTTGAAGCACTTTTATTTTTTCCGTTTTCAGCCGCTAAGATTACATTAAACCGGGTTTACTCGAAAACAGAGGTGTCATAATGATTTAAAATTGCTTTTTGTTCTTCGGACATTCCTTATTTTTACATTAAAATTGATTTGCAGCATTTTTTTGACATTTGCACCCAGCCGGGATCGAACCCGGGACGCTGGAATGGTAGTCCCGCCCACTAACCACTACACCACGAAATTTGTCGCACCACTTTTTGCACTTTTTTTGATTGAGTCTAGAGCAGAATTTTACGCTGATTAACATATCAAAAAATCAGCTGGGGGTTTTTAGAAACAAAGATTTTACGACCGTTTTTTAGCGGTCGATACGGTATTACGGTATGTTACAGTAGGAAACCGGCAAAAATAATCACTCCATCGTGTTCGCAAGGGTCAAAAACTACAGTAGCCGTCAAATCACTGCACTGTAAGGCAAGATACCACAGCTAGAGGCGATTACTTCTAAAACAGTTAATTGTAAAAAAATATACCTTAACGAAGGATTTGGGAAAAAATATTGTTCGCTTTTGCTTAGCTCCTTCCAACAGTCATTTTAATGCAAAAAACTCAAAATCGATTTTTTCCTATGTCCACGGCTAACTGGCGGCTGATTCACTGACCCAGAAATCGTCTTTTAATTCGCAACTTTTTTTCTCGTCCCATTCTCATGATTTCAAGCACTCTTTCAAAGTAAGGGAAGTGAAGCGGAAAGAAGATTTTGATTAATGGTTTTGATTAATGATAGGGTGTCGACACGAATCTCTGTTTTTTTGGTTTTGTTCACCGATGATTTGTTTGACGATGGAGAGTGGAGATGGGGACAAAGAAAGAGAGAAAAAAGGTCGTGTGGAAAGTGTTTTGGCGGGGATTTTAACAACTTTTGGTTACTAATTTTAACGACTTTCGATTCTTTTGTAAAACAATGATGTTTCCGGGTCTTAAATTTATTGGTGATATAATCTAACAACCAATTGATGTTGTTTCAGACTTCAAAATGGAAGAAGACTCTCTAAAAGATGCTGTTTTTACCAACACTGTCAGCGTGTTGGTAGATTCAGAGCAAACTTCGTACTCGCCAAGTACAAACGTCCAGTTGTGGCCCTGTATTCATGTCCCGCATAGATCTCAAATCCCTCAAGCGGTAAAAGAAATTTACAGCAAATTGGCGTCGATGGCGAATGAATTGGATGAGGGGATCGCTGATATTCTAATCAGCCTGGTATCGACCGGAAATCATTTCGATCCGGAGGTCGGTTTTACTTGCAATCGTAACATTTACTGTAATTCGTTACTAAGTTATACATACTTCTTTAATTTTTTATATAACAGCACTCATATTATTATGCATTTACATTTACATATTTAAGGAATGGGCTCTTTGATTGAGATTATTGTAGATTACGTTTAGCATGATCCTAAGGTATGCTCCTCAGTCTGGGTCCAGGGTTGAGAGAAGACAGTAGACTTGACACATTCCTCCTTATTTCCGTTCTTCACGATGAATTCGATCTCATAGTTGATACCGGCAACAACTTGACTGCGAGCGCTCTTGACTTTCACAAACTCAAAGTTTCCATTTCGAGTAGCGGCGAATTTAGAGAACGATTTTTGAGCCAATGCCTGGAAATTAAGGGGATTAAAATAGGGACCGAATAAGACAGATGAGCAAGGTTTGAAAGGCAAAAATATAACTTACAATAATCTGGGGATCATTCACATCTTGTTCGGCAAACCCTCCGGGAATCTGCGAGTAAGCTACAGCCATAATCCCAAAGAAACAAAGGACAGTTAGTTTAGTAGACATGTTCAGATCGCACTGAAAATTGAGTCAAAGGAACGTGTTATATATACGGAACGGGAATTTTTTTTCTCGAATCTAATAACCGCCCACAAAAAGGCCAAGTTTACAATAAAGATCACTGGATGAGTCATTGCGTAACACCCTCCTTCCCTCGCGCAAAATAAACTCAATTTATTGGCTTCCTTTGAGGTTAAAGGGGAACTTCATTCAGCTCCTTTGAATTGGTAGTTACCGCCTTTGAATGGTCTTGAATATGATTCATAGTACAGTGACAAACAAATAAGATGTTCGTTAAAGTGTAGGATTGCACAGGGAGGTGGGAAAATCAAATCAAGTAGGTTGTAGACGTTGGTGAGCAATACATAATATTATGTAAGCGTGGGAAGTGAAGGGGACTTTGGTTTATTTCTTTATTCGAATTTGGCAAAAGAGGCAAAAATAAGTTCAATTGGGTAGGAAAGAAAAACAGTTCGCTGTCCGTGAATCTCGGCATTCCATATGTCAAGTCAAGAAAAGCAAATATTTTACTTCACCCTTTTTGATAGTTGTTCAAATGCCACGCAGCAGCTGACAAAGTGAACATATATAATACTTTTAACAAAATCAAAGTTGTCAATTCTCTCCAAAAACTAGTTTATTTTCCCTTTTCTATTATCATTTTTGACGGGAAAAGAGAACATTTAATTCGAATATCAATTCCAAATAAGTCGCCCCAATTCTTTTTTCACTTTTATATAAAATTTGATTTAAAATAACATGATTTTTCATGATTTTATGTGCAAACAAACATGTTTTGGACTTCTGATTTCAAGCGATCATCGCAAACAACACGCACTGTGCACTTATGAAAGTGGCTTTGGAGTTGAGTTCAGCGATTTTTGACGTTAAAATTCCCGGACGATTGCACAGAAGTAAAAAATAATACAATAAAAAAACTGATTGTCATCGCGCAGTGTGGATACAAAGTTCCTGAAAACTTTCCCATTGATATTCTAGTCAGCCCGGTATCGAAATTATATACCTAGGTGTGTAGATATAGTGTTTAATTCCTCTGACAGTTCATGACAAGGTTAAAGTAGCAAAAAGTTTAAAACGGATTTGAACGAAATGTAGTAAAGAGAAGCCTTTTAGACAACAAAATCGCTCTCCATTGGCTTCAAATGTCTAATTGGGAAATGTGGATTGTGGGCGATTGCCAACGGAGAGTCCGACGATGATATCAGCACTATATTTGCACAGGCGTTGCGCGAAACATTGTCACAGGTTAGTTTGAAGCCGGCGCTACCGGAGGAAAAATGAGATACAATCATGTACAGAAAGCCAATTAATTTTAGACCGATCACATCCAAGAAACCTTATTCTTCATTGTGAATAATGGAAGCGTCATTCACAAACCCTCAGAATCATGGGATTCTGGTAAACACATGGTCAATTCGTGCTTCAATACGTTGTATATCCTTCAGAGGGAAGGTGGAATTACTAACGAGGACACGAATTTATTCAGATGTCGATTAGCGTTGAAGTTGGCAACACCTCCTCCGGGTAAATTGTGATTGATCGCAATGGTCACAAAACTGTTCTTTACAGCACTTCTTATTGGTGTTCCTGATGAAAAGACGTCTTCCGCGACAGTTCCACCAACACCAATAGGGTCAACGTCGCCTGCCATAATCCTTCCAAATACATTGCATTCACTGGAACGGCATCCATTGCCAATTGTTTTATTCTGTGGAGCAAGCCTTGAGTCATTGGATGAGCTGAAAGAATACATTGAGTGTGGAACACCAGCTGTCATTGTTGAAGTAAGGTGTCCTGAATATTGTCATCTTTCAGCTACCAATGTCGTGATTGAATTATAATGTTTCAGGACTCCAGTGAGCTTTGCGCTGTCCTTCGAAATTGCTTTATGCTCTACAATACCCCCAACTTTGAGCATAAAGCTTTCCTGAAATGGCTTCACAGCGAGTTGCATTCAATTGAACTGGATGTTGATCAGATTGCTAAAGCGAAAGATGCGATATGCTCAATATTTGCTACCGGAATAGGCCCGAGAAACCTCTTTTCATTTATTAAAGCAGTCGAATTGGAGAATCTCCCTGAGCATCTGCTACAATTGCTGAGTAAGACGGCCAATGATTTGAATGACCTCACACAAGTCGCTCAACTGGCAGCTAAACTTAATGTTGTTTCGATTATAAAGCAGTTGGAGGTTGGAAAGACGTTTAGTGGAGAGGTGAGTTGATTATTATGACATTGGACAAACGTTTTTACAATCTCAGGCGTTCCATCAAATTCTTCTGCATGCTCTGACAAGCAGCAATAATATTGACACTTTGACTGAGATTTTGAATCAGAGGCCACCAATTGTATTGCCTCGGCCGTTTTTACTAGATTGGCTCGATAACATTGATGATAAGGTAAGGAAAATGTCGGGGACATACAAGGGGTTCCATCTTTCATTACTTGTGTTCCATTAATATTCTATAACAACTCATTTTTTCTTTAGTACTTTTTTGAATCCGTAATCCTGGAATCGACCCTCGGATACCTTTCAGTTCCTACCGAAATCAATTCAGAGTTTGTGAATGACATCAATAAACTCTTGGTAAGTTGATAAATTATTGTAGAAAGCATCACGTTTTGTTTTAGTACGAGCTCTCCGACGGGGTTTTCAACTTATTCCCGTCCGAGATTCTTCTTTCCCCACCAAATGAAGTTGATACTCATCGAACGCTACAAGTCATGGCATTGTGGGCAGTACTCAGTAATCAGCTCGAAGTTTGCAAATGCCTAGCCGCCCATTCAAATGAACCCCTGAGCTTGGCCATAATTTTGGCCAGGATATCCAAGTCTTTGGTTGAGAAATGCGGGCATTTGACCTTTTACCGACAAGGCTACGAGAAAGCCCAAAAATATTTTGAAGAAGTTGCCGTTGGAGTTGTGAGTAGCTCTTTCAACGCGCGGCCGTTGAAAACATACGAATCCATCTGTACACAAAACAGGCATTTTAATGGGCAAAGTCCGGCAGTTTTGGCATTTGAGGTAAGCAATATGTCATGTATCTGAAACATTGTTCATTTCTCAGACTGAAAACCGTTCGCTTCTGGCAAATGACTGCTTCAAATGTTGGGCTCAGCGTTTAGTAAACTCCACGCTTTCTTTATCATCGGAAAGTTTGACAAACTTATGCGGTTTTAAGATAATTCTCAGCGCATTGTTCGTATTTCCAATCAGGAATTTCTTTATCCAACGACATCCGTTGTGGAATCTTGTTCAGCGAGGCTATGAAGACAAGGGCTACAGTCCAACGGTAGCCATGCTTGAATTTGAAGGGAGGACTTCAAAGCCAAGGAGGGCATTGAGCATGTATTCAGCTACTAGTAAGCAAGACATTCTCTGGGGTTTAATACGTTAATTCAGGTCGCTCAATCTGCGCTCATGATTTTCTAAATACTCGGGAGACAACTCCACTGGACTTAAACCCTGATAGCAATGAGCTAGGAACTTTTAACATGGATTTCAACGATTCCCAGTCTACAAACTTTATGCACACTAATCACACATTACTCCCAGGTAATGAAGATGCCGAGTCGTTTTTGTACGGCCACGAGAACAGAACCAGGCATACTCCTTCTCCAATGGGTGTAAATCTCCGATGGTCTCCGAGCTACCAGGCCCGTAAAGTCCAGAATACTACCTTTGATGATGTCGAAGCGTTTTACAATACACCTCTAGTCAAGCTATGGATCTCACTTTTCTTTCGAATATTTTATTTGGTCTTCTTTGCGGCAATGGTAAACTAAACTTGACGAAGATTGAAAATTCGCTTATTTCAGCTGATTGGCAAAGGTTGCGCTAACGAGACGGCGTTGTTGCTAGTTTGGATATGGACTTTGAGTTATTTATGCGAAGGATTTTGGGTTTTAACGATTAGATTGAAAACGACAGGATTAAATAAAGTAAGCCGGCAGTCTGAACAGCCACAGTTTGCTTAGATGAAGTTCCACCTACTAGATCAATTAATCATCATGACTTTTCTATTTGGCTCCTTGTTGTTTCGAATGATTGGGGCGAAGTTTTGGTCCGAAAATGTAAGTGAATAAGACATGAAAGTACTGTCTTTTTTAGTACCCCAACTACTGGTATGTTCACAAATCTCTTCAAGCAGCATTCTTCGTGTATCAATGTTATTCCACGTTCTTTATCTATGGTATTTATTTTGATTCTACCGGAAAACTAATAATTCGGTTGAAAAATGTAATTACTCAAAATGTCAGCGGGATTTTACTATTGACTGTTCTAGCGTTTATCAGGTAGGCAAAATGCTTATCGGTTCCAGACGTATTTTTTATTGTTTCAGTACAGTCATCGCGACGAAAACAATTGTTTACCCGGACACGGATGGAAATTCAGCAAAGCTTCTAGACTCCATTGATTGGGCTGTAAAATCTTTTATCAACACTGATCTTTCCTTACTCTCTGAGTCAAGTGAATGTGCAAAGTTTGCATTTACGCAGCCACCACAGCAATGTGGAATCATTGGGGGTTACGGTAATCGAAATTGCCCGACTCAAGGATTCCTCTCCAACATCGTGGTACTACAATATTTAATGGTTCTCAAATTGGTCTTTGCTCCACTATTTATTGCTTTGGTAGTCTATGCAGTTCTTCGAACTGATGATTCGTTTGATTATCAAAGAACCCTGCAGTTATATTCGACTGGTCGGGAATTCAGCGCAAGGCCTGTTCTCCCTCCTCCATTCACATTCTTCTTCTTTGGAATTCTGATTTTGAAAAGATTTTGCGGATGTGGAATGTGGATCAGACATGTGCAGAAAATGTCAGAGCATCCAGACGAGAGAGGGCTTCATGGAGTCTTTGGAAAACATCAGGCAGTTTATCGGAATCCATCAGTAAGGCTGTTTGGCTTTTTTTGCTACACGAGTAAAAGTAATTTTTCAGGGCTGATGTTATAAAAATCACAAAATATTAGATGGAAATTAATTTTCGATTTCAGATACCTCCAATGAGACGTTCAAAGCGGCCTGACTTTTGGACGCAGAAATTTATCGACTCTTGGCACAATAGAAAACTGAATTCCTCCTCCGAATCGACGACTATCGCAGTCCCTGAAGCCGTGCGTCGGTTGAATGAGAAGCTCCAACTTCTAGTGATCTCATCTGTTTTCAAAGAAACTTCCGATGACAAAAATGCAAAGCACTGGAGGACAGAAGGTTCAACCGTTATTATTGATGATGAGTACAAAGCCTGGACAACACTCCTCCCGGATTACTATCCTCCGTATAGTTGTAAGTCGGTCGAGGAGTTCCCTGCAGAGATACGGAGAAGAGTCGACAATATTGATGTAAGTATTAAAGTATTGGCAGTACAGTGATTTGCTTAGAATATCGTTGAAATCGCTAAACATTGGAGACAAAGTAAATTGAGCCGTCATATAAATGAAGATGCAAGTAAAATGTGGCTTCTCTCTGCCGATGGATTGCCGTTGAATCCGTTAGGAAGGCGGGGGAAATCTGGGAGAGGAGATTTTGTCAAATTCGGACCAAATGTTATATATTTTTATGTAATTTTGGTTCAACTGGCTGCTGGAGTCAAGGTAAGAACAGTTGAATGGAAAATAACTAATTGTAAATTAAACCTACGTCAATAAATCCTCTTTTAGGTCCTGCTAACTTCTAAAAACGAGCTTCCAAATAAGCGAAAGTATGGTGGCCTGCGATCTGACGAATATTTATCCGAAATCTTAACAGAGCTCAAAGTAGCCGACTCCGAGATTCAGAGATTCTCAATAAGAAGTCACCTCAACGTCGGACAGAGAGATCATAACATTGCACATGTTATTTGTACCCCATTAGATACAAATGATGCCACGGATAACGCGTGGACGGAAGCTGATGTTTGGGCTACTTTGTTGACGTAAACAGATTGTACAGTTACTGATAGATAATTTCAGAAACTACACTCCTCATCAATCCTCAAAGTACCACTGGTTTGACGTAAACGACGGAGAAGTTCCCAATCTATGCCGAGAATTTGTCCAAAAATCGGTCGACATTCTTAAGACCTCGTTATGAATAATGCTAACATATCAGTCTGTCGGGAAAATAACGGCGGGTCGTCGCGCCTTCAAATCGCCCATAATCGCTGGGCGGCGACGGCCGCAGCTGGAGATAGCGGCGAGACATTTTGCTGGGATGACCCGCCGTTGTTTTCCCGGCAGACTGATATTTCGCTTTAAGTGAAAGCGCAAAATAATAATAAATGTAAAAAACATAGACCTTGAGCGGTAATCGTCGCATGTGAAGTTTATTATCATGTTTAGCCGGGATTACCAACTGTTTTGTTTTTATTGCCATCTAAAGTTCCGGATGATTCTCGGAGTAACAAAACGAAATGTTCGGAAATTTTGAGTGCGTTCCCATAAAACGTTGAGCTACAATATTTTTTATGGATTGAAAAAGTATCCGCTTTGTCATTGCAACAGTATGGCAATTCAAATCTTTCAAAAAAAAGTTTTTTTTGTTCCGGTCTTTACTAGTGGTCACTTGTCCAAGGGAAATTCCGGATTCGGCGGTTTTATGGCCTTACTTTGGCCCATTCGTTCGTCTCTGCGATGATATCAGAAACAGAAAAAAGAGAAAAATCGAAAAATTATGCAAAAAGAAAGGGCTCAACAAAACAATCGGCGTTTTCATCCAACACGAATTTTAAGCTGCCTCTAAAAGAGCTGGTTTTTAACTCAAAAACTTTCTCTTGTGTTAAGGCAATTTATGTGTAAATTTCATATTTTATAGTTCATTACATTTATCACTGTTTTCATTCTGTCAAAAAATTTACGTATTCAAATCCGAAATTGCTGACTTACAATGTTGATGGTACTCGGGGTGACCGTTGTTTTTTCTGCAACCCGATCCGGACTACTTTTTACTTTTTCTTTTCTATTAAAAATCCGCTGACCGATCCTAACCCCTCCTCCTTGCATTGTCCTGCACGTGTAATCAAAGACTTGAACTTCCAGGGATCGGGGCGTTTATTTCTGGACGTTAGTTTTTTGGGTACATCTGATATAGTCGTCCTTCGGTAAGTATGTTTGACATAAGCCTCTCAAACAGTGGCTAACGATCTAGAAAATTACTAAGAGTGCTTAAGACTTTCTTAGTCGGATGTCCTTATCAGCGTTCGGGTTTTATGGCTAGTTTTCGTTTAATATTTTTATGACAAACATCAGAAAACAATACTATGAAACTTATCATTCGACTGGTTTGAAGAGTGTCGTGTTTTTCATTTTTGTTTTGTCAGAACTTCTAATTTCCTACAGTATATCCCCAGCCTTTTTATTCTTTTTTCAGCAATGGAAATTTTTCCAAAGAAGAATTCAGATACAATACTGAGCTTTGAGAACCTTGTACTTAATACGAAGGTAAGTCCCAGCAAATTCATCAGCGGGCCATGAGATCTTTAGTACTTGGAAACTTCTGAACCCACTTCCTCCTCCTGTGCATCTTCTCCTGAACTTTCACAATCCCACAGAATCTCTGCGGAAAAGAAGAAGGATAGACTTTGTTGGAATGCTGCCGAACATGTTAAGATGGTCTTTCCAATCCTTGATTGGCTTCCAAAATATAAATGGAGCGATGATTTTTTGGATGACATTTGCTCTGGCTTCAGTTTGGGATGTTTTCATATTGCACAGAGTAAGTTACAGACATCGTAACTTATAATTATGATTTTTAGCCTTTGCCTGTGCACTACTTGCTGGTCTCCGACCGATCCACGGATTATACACAACTCTATTCACATTGTTGTTATACCCAGTCTTTGGATCATCACCAACAGCATCTCTGGGAAGTGGACCTTTTATCGCATTGATGCTGAATGTTGCAACTCTCAAAACACTCAACTCTCTTCATGAACAACGTGATATAATAATGATGGCATCCAGCACGGAGTACGATCAGAGTATTGATGACCATACATATGAAGAGATTGTTCAAGTGACTTGTCTCTTATGCGGAATCTTCCAAGTTGTAATTGGGATCTCCCGACTGAATTTGGTATTGTCACTCGTCTCCTGGGAAGTTTATTCTGCATTTGGGGCTGGCACTGTAACCCATATCTTTGTGGCTCAAATGGCCAGATTTCTTGGGCTAAGACCGAAAGGAAGTCGTCTTGAGGTTGGGTATATCTTCGGTGTAAGTCTACATAGAACATGGACAAATTTCGCTGAAAACATTTTAGCACGCTTTCGAGCTATGTGCGTCATTGCCGCAAGCAAATGTTATCACAGTACTCATATCAATTACTGGCTTTGCGGTTTTGTTTGTGGGAAAAGATTACATAAATCCCAGAGTATTGGCGGTCTCCAGGTATAAGGTGGCCATCCCTTGGAATACTCTGCTGTACATTGCTTCAGGGCTTACCGTGATGGTTTTTGGATGGCATAAAACTGGGGGAGTTTCAATTGTTGACACTATCCGTACAGAGTAAGCCCATTTTCTTTACTCACAATAAGATTTTCAAATTACTCTTTCATTAGCCGGATATATTTTTCTTTAGTTTTCCACGGCTTATCATTCCCAAAATCCGGTTAGAAATCGTCTCATTAGTCTGGCTGGATGCTTTTGAAATCGCCCTAGCCTCATATGCCGTGCATTGGACATCCTGTAAATTACTCAGCAAGAAGAGCAAGGTCAAACCTCGGCGATTACAAGAGTCATTTGCTTTGGGAATAATCCATGTCATCTTATCCTTTGTCGGCGGATATCCAGCTTCAGCACCGCAAGCTCGAGCCGTTTTAGCAATGGAAACCGCGGCTAAATCGCAGGTGAGTGAATGACGAGGACTTTCCAGGAAGATTTGAATTTTAGATTCACTCATTTGTCGCTTTATTGACGTTCATACTTAATTACTACGTGTTTGCTCCAATCTTCAAGTACTTACCAGTCTGTATTATTGGCGTTTTCATTATGTTTGGATTCAAACCTCTGATTTTGAACGTTCCACCGACATTGGTCAAGCTGTATAACGCATCCATATTGGATCTTGTAAGACCAAAATAACTTTTTATCAACTTTGAAATTCAGTCTATCTGGATCCTCACATACTCTTGTACAGTCGTATTCAATGTCGTTGATGGGTTTCTTTTGGGAATCCTCATATCTCTTGGTGGAGTTATAATCCGGCTTCATTATCAACCGACAACCAAAGAAAAGAGCATATCTACTTCAACAAATGGGATAACTCATCAAATTTTCGACAAAGCTTGTACCATAAGTTTGAACGGGTGTTTAGTAAGTTTCAAATAACCGAACTATGTGTTTAGACATTTCTCAATCTTCATAATCTCGAACAATTTTCAAAGACATATCAAGAAACACTACGAACCGCTGAGAAAGTTGTATTCGATCTTCAATCTGTTAATTTTGTTGATTTTACTAGTGCAGCAGAGCTGGGAAATGTAAGTAAAACTTTAATGCCTTAAAAGCAAGTAATTAACACAAAATTTAAAATTGATTTTGCATAAATTCATCAGAAATTTCAATACTTTTTGTCATGTTTTATTCTCCATGCTTTTCCAGGTCAAACTATCTCTCGAATCGACAGGTCATCATCCCCAATTCAACCGGATACCCCCTAAAATCCGACGTGCCTTAAAAACCGTAGGAATCTCAGAAGAATCGTAAAGATTATTACTTCTTTTATTATGAATAAATTTAATATTTTCATCACAATCGAATAGTGTAGACCAAATTACAACAGACTGATTAGGTTCTAAGGCATCACAAGAGGTTTTTAATTGTTTTCTGAATAGAAAAGTGAAAAGTTTCGTTATCAATCCTTTAAATGATCGAGGGTAAAACCTGGGAAAGGCAGGAACCCGTTTTGTTCAGTTTTAAACTGACACTCAGTGTAAGAAATGCAAAAAAGTGGGGAAAATGTTCTGATAAACTCATAGACTAATAGTAAAATAATAATTTTAAAAAATCTACATCAATTTTAACACTAATAAGTGCCAAAACTGTTTTTAAAAAAGTCTCAAAAGGATGACTAAATGAAGGTAACTTGAAAAAAAATAAATAACAACTGACTCAAACTTCAATGATATGTAAAATAACGTAGTAAAATGAATAATTTTAACACCACTTATTGGTCGATCCTTCCATTCTTTACAATTCCCAGTTCTTTTTTGATTTTGAGAACTTGTAACTCTTTCAATTCAATGTCCAATTGAAGCAACCGATTTCTCTGATTCTCAGAGTCAGCCTCAGCCCGTATTTTATCCGCTTCAGCCTCTAATTTTCGTACTTCAGCTCTCAGTTTTCGGAGTTTGAGCTGATCTTCTTCATCACTTTCGGTCGGTTCACAAGTGTCATCCCGATTTTGACGTTCCCTTTCAACCTGTTGCTGCTGCTGTTGGAGCGCCTGCAAATTGGAGTGTAAAGTCAAGAATCAAAAAAAAAATCACTGATAGAGATCTTTATATTCTAAACTTTGATTGCCACTATTACCTGCAGCAGAATATTTGAAGTATCAAAGTCGAGCATGTTATTGAAGTTGACAAAAGCATTACTGTCCGGGGTAGCTCGGTAAGACCGTTTTCTGGAAGTGGGCAGAAGACATCCATCACTATCTGGATCAATATTTTCCGATGACATTGAGGGTTTGATGTCAATGTCATCAGTTAATCCAAAATTGAAGGAATGATCGGGGGAAGAATTGACAAAGTTGGTCCCGATTATATTTATTACCATGTTGTCTATCTGAAAATTAAAAGTTTTGTTGAGTTTATACCGTAATCTAGTACCGTGATCCCTACTGTAACCCACCTCATTGAGATGTGCATTCCCATCTCCCCTCCGGCTTCTCTCGTATTTGTCCTTAGCTCTTCTTTGGAGGTTTTGCCAAGTAGTTTTCCTCAAATGATCCACATCTCTAAGACCGACACATTTTTTGTTCATACAATCTTCGAAGACTTCGCGCCATAGCCGATCTTTCTCAGCACCGGGGGCAGCAGTTGGGCCAAATAGTTGGGCTTTTCGATCGATTAGAGCTTGCAGGAACACTCTTTTCCCGTAATTGTCCATAAATGCGGTGGGAGGAAGAGATCCGGATACTGTAATCATCGTTACTAGAGGTTTGTTGGGAGATTCGATCTCGACCCGGTAAGTAAAATTCTGATTCAAGGCAAAATACAGTATAATTGGCACTTTCCCTCCCACAAATGCCGAAAACATTTAAAATAGTGCCACCTCCCCTTGATCCACCGCAATTCCAACCAAAGATCCCCTATACTCCTCATTATAGACCTCTCCGACATCTTGAACCTTATCCTTTGCCATAAAATAATATGGAATCTAAACTTGCCGTCAAAAGTCTGGAGAATTAAAAAGTTTTTACGGGCTGCGGGCAGGGGGACGAAAATGTCATCAATAATTTGTCGTGGACGTTTATTTCCGTCTTTTTACGCACTCAGCCTCAAGAGCTTTCAAGCGAAGAGGGGCCCCGCACGGTGCAAATGACATTCGACACTGCACGACAACAAAATTATTTTTATAAGAAATTGAGAGCGAATTCCAAGCTGGGAAATTAGGATTTGAGAGGGATTGCGTGGAAAAAGCGATGACGATACACATTTTACAGATATTACAGAGTAATTACAACCAGACATAAATTTTGGCAAAACTGATTTTCAAGTCGAAATAACTGTAAAATTTGTGAATGATATTGCAGAAGATAGAGTCAAAGGAGAGCCCACACAACACATTATATTATAGAATAGCAAAGTTCTTTTGCAACAAAGTGAAAGATCAACCTTTTCACCAATTTCCGGTTGGCTTTTGAGCCTTCGACCCCGACAAAATTAGCGCTCGCCTCCCAAATTATATTCTCTAAATAGCCAACCGTATTTTAGGACACACTGCTCCACCCCGCAATCATCGCCACCCCTTTATTTCCAATAAAACTCCCAAAAATCGCCCACGAAAAGGCCGGAGCCATAAATGTCGGCGCAGAAATCGGTCCTTACCGAACGTTATTACAACCCACAAAAAAGTTTTCCGCACCTGACAAAAAATGTTCACCCGAAAGAGAACGAAAATTGTTGTGCGGTTTATTGCGACCTCCAAACAAAACAAAAAAAGGTCGACAGTGCACCGAAGGAAACTGACAGACCCGAAATTGGTGTGGTGAAAGAGGAGAGACCGGATGGGAGGGGGACGCCATTCCTACGCAAGACACACAAATGTCAAATGTCGCGGAAATCTGGGCCTTACGAGGACAGAAATAAACATTTGAGTTTGCAGAAAAATAAAACTTTCGGAGATTCAGATTTCAATGACAATGTTGCAAAGCGCTTCTATTGTGTAATTCTAAAGAAATCTGTAGAAAAACGTTTGTTTCCAAAAACAACTCGTTTCGTGCAAAATTCCGGTATTTCTTTGCAAAAAAGAGTCAATTTGAGTGACTAAATTGCTAAAAAAATACAAATTTGTACTAATTAGCTCATAATTTATATTCAGCCTATAATGTAGGATCTATAAAATGACAGAATCTTGAATTCTCGCCCCTCTGGCACCTGTTATGTCAAGTCCTAATCGTTTGCCATCAAGAATTAGACTGTTGTTGACATTAAATGTCCCCTCGCCTCCTAATGGCCTCACTGCACGCGATTTCAAACATTTTCATCAAAAGCGAGGCCCCTCAATTCCTTCCTTTCAGCCTCAATTATCAACCGAAGGTCATTCACAAGTTTCGTATAGCCCCCATTGCGGAACATCAGGGAATGTCAACCGTCTGTCCACTGCGGATAGCCGGGACCGGACTTTTGCGAGAGCCGGGCGCGCTGAGTCGTCGCGCGACAAAACTGTGGGGTTGGGACGCGGAAAATGTTCGGGGAAATTTCTTTACAGACAGCCAAAAAACTCTCGTCCCTTTCATTCATTTTCTCGATTCTCGTTTCTTGCGACAACGACAACACCGCACCTTTCTTTCGGTGCACCGTGCGACCCAGCAGCCACTCGAAATTCTCCCCCTTTCCATGGCTGGGGCGGTGGACGATTTGTGTCTGTGTGTGTGAAAGACGGGCCTGAGATGACAATTTTCACTGCCCAATTTCAGTGCGAAGTGGGGCGAGAATTGTCAAAAAATGGGCTTTGTGGTAGAAAGAAGCAACCGTGAATCGCGCAAGGACAGAAAGAATATGTCAACAACTCCAATTAGGAAAACCAAACTCAAATCGAAAAGAATCACGTCTTCCAAGACAAAAACAGCAGCAACGCGTCCTAAAGTCTCAAGTTGAAGTTTCAAATGCTGATAGGATGACAAAAACTAAAAATCAACAAACTTGATGTCAAAAAGTACCTCAATAAAAAGCATAAACTGAGAAAAAAACAATGACAATACCGTTGTGTTCCGACAACACAAAAAACTTATATTCTTGTCAAATTCAACCTTTCAATAACCAAAACATTCGACATAAAGGCTGAGTAATCCCTTCCCCTGACCACCGTATTCCCATCGTCCGACCGTTTGACCATTACTTTTACTTTGTGACCACAAAAACTTCTTTTTCCCATACCGCGCGACAATCATCTCGACACCGAGAGAACTGATCGGCTTTCCGTTTCGTAGGACTCGCGGAATGTCCCCGTGTTTCTTTTTTGTCGTTTTCTCCATCGAAATCGCTCAGTTTCTTCGATTTCCCGTCTCGAAAGGGGGAATGTTCTCGAGGACAGTTTCTGTGCGATCAGTTGTCGCGGCGGCGACAGCGAAAGACCCTCTCCTGCATGCGAGATGGAGGGGGCAGAGGACCGGGGGAAGGACTTTCCGACTTTCCCGATCACTGGCCCTCCAATTTTGTGACCGGGAATGTCTCTCTTCTCCTGTCACGCTCTTTCGCACTGTGCAAATTCTGTGTCAACATTGAAGTGCGCGACTCAAATATTTGTGATGGTGAATAAAGTTGTCCGATTATCGAAAGACGGGGAGAATGGGCGAGAGAATGTCAGTTCTATTATCCTTTATGCAAATGCTTGATGCAAGAAAATGATAAGGAGTGAACACTCAACGGAAAAGTTCTCCCGGAGTGATTGTGGATGACGAACACAGAAAACAAACTAAAAAAAGGACAGAAACGGAAAAAGCGAAAGTTTCGCCATTAAAAAAAATCTTTTGGATTCAAATACAACCAAACAGAAATGCCTTCGAAATCCTTCAAACAGGGGTGCCTAAATCTACGGCCTAAAAACGTCCTTCACAGACGAATTACAAGTGTCTTTCGACATAATTACCGTCGAAAATCTCAATTCGAATGCTTATTTTACTCCTCCCAAAAAAATAACACCAATTCCTCCAATGCCTGACATTTTGGTTTCCACGGATCCTGCCAAATGTCAGAGCAATAAGGCCCCCGGCCTACATCCAAAATGTCGGCCAGCGAAAGAGCGGGAACCTTTCGGGATACCACATTTGCTTTGTTTTTTTAATGTCTTTATTTATTTTCGGCTTCTTGACCAAAGAGAAGACGAAGTTTAGGCCGCCAAATGTTAGGCAAATGTCGTAATTGACATTCTCCAGAGCTGCCGGGATGTACGAAATGAAAACTGGAACTAAAAAAAAATAGTAGTAAGGGCAACTCATGTCTTATAAACAAAAATAAACATCGAAAACAGAGATAACACAACCTAAAACACCGTTGCAAAAATGTCGACCAATCACACGAGATCGTTCTGCAAAACGACACTTTCATGGAAAGACTTGACCCAATCTCGGAAGATGTGTCAACTCATCCTCTCAATTTATTTTTTTCGAAAATATCCACGGAAACTCGAATTTTACTGGATCCACACAAAGCAGATTACTCATAATTCGAGATTTTTATTCTGACTATCTTCTTAACCAATTTCCTCTTTCAGGATATCCCTTGGGGCTATGGATCCGGTGGAATTTCCGAATTACCTGTTGTCCGGTCAGATAAAACAACTTATCGGCCTGACTGGATTGGACGTCAACAACAGTGAAGTCCACAAAAACATACTCAGTGCTTTCCAAAGTCAGACAAACGAACTTCCAATATTTTACACATTGTGGAAGCCGGAGAATGAATCGCCAAAATCCGAAAAACAGATCTTCAGGTCGCCGAAGGGTATTATAAAGAGAGATTGGCCATTGAAGTACCTACTACATCGACCATCGGTTGTGGTTTTATTTGTGGACCTAAATTGGGATCATCCGAATTGGTTAGAAAAGAGAGTGGAGGTCGAGAGCAAAGTGGCTTCTTTGAGGTGCGTTTTTTAGTTTGTTAATTTCTGGAATTTAGGTGGTTTTCATCGTCATAGGGCATTTGATGGTCGTGTAAAGTCAATATGGCGGAAATTGCGACTGTTTTGGAGATTTGATTTTCTTATCCGTGACATGTGATGTATAATTCTGATTTCAGACAAGGTGTCCCAGTCAAAGAAACCAAAATTGCGTTGGTTTTGATCCAGAACTCAAATTCCTCCTCTTTATCACCTGACGATTACCTGGCCAAAGATCGATCGAAAGAACTCTGGGAATCTTGTCAACTCTCAGAGAAACAGCTCTTTGTCTTCCCAGATTATGAGCCTTACAATGCAGTTGTCCGACGAATGGAGAATGCATTATATGAGCTTGGACAGAGCTTTTACCAAGGAATTCTAAGACGGATACGAGGAAGGTCAATTCCAAATAATTATCCCAATTTAACCATCAGACAACAGTTCAAATTGGGATTTTTATCCGAAATGAGACAGGATACACATTCAGCACTAAGGTAAGATTGTTAAATCATTCGTTTATTACTTTTTTAGGCCTTACCGACAAGCATATCAGCACTGCAGTGAAGCAGAAATTCCGGATACCGAGTTATTCGAGTATCTTTCAATTGTTTCAGTACTGAACTATAAAGTAAGTTTCTTTACAAGTCTTTATTTTAAATTTAGATATGTGAACTCTCCTTTATCCATAATCTTCCTGGAGAAGCTGTTACCCAGTTTTCGAAGTTGAATGCTTCTTTTTTCAATCGGCGAGCTGGATATTATCCATCTCCCGAATTGGCAGAGATTGAATTAGCAAAGTGGAAGAGTCAACAAGTAAGAATTAATTATTTATAAGAATGATTATTGCTCGGTCTTTAGTGTCGATTATTCGCCGATCTGTTCAGTCATGCTATAACCAAAGGACTAGCTGCCTTTCCCCATCAGAATCCGGGTCTTCAACTGGATATGTCAGCGGATTTTCTGTGCCATGCAAACGCTCGAATTATCTTGTTGAAGGCATCGGTTGGGCAACAAGAATTGGCTTCGATGCACAAGGATATATTGGAATATCCGGGTAAGCAATTTTTAGTTTTTATTTCATTCTTTTAGCTGACAGTCCATATCCGATTTACCTTGGTCAGCGTCCATGGCGAGCAAGAAGTCATCTAAATTCGCAACTGGATCCACTTACGGAGCATGCCGCTAAACAAGCGTTAGAAGTAATTAGGATTGTAAGAATGATTATTTGTTTAGATTGTCTGCCAACCAAACCATCAACAAAGTCTGACTTTGTTTTCGGCAGCGATGAGAAATTTCCAGATATTCAGGCTGAATCGGATGCAGAGAACAGTTCTTTTGAAGATGGCTGATGAGTACTTTAATCTGAGAAGGTTTCAGAAATCTATGCAGGTAAGAGTAACCTCCTTTCTACGCCCGATTGATATTAAAATGATTCATTTTTTATTTTTTAGGTACTTGTCCATGTAATTTATGAACTCCGAAGAGAAAGTGTAAACCAGATTTTGTTCCCAATCCTCCAGAGATGTCTAGACGCGTCTTATTGCGATGTGGATGTAAAAGATTATGTTTGGACGGTCTCTCAACTTCTGAACCCATCAATTATCTTCTCCACCATCAATCAGCCCTATTATTTACAATTGAAGGCCCAATTGGAGGAGAACTTTAATAATTTGCTTCAGGGAATACCTCCAAAAACACATTCCAGTCTATATACGAGATTATCACAGGTTGAGGTGAGTTTGAAATGTTTTGAATTTTATGTTGTTTTAGATCGGTCAGGTTGAACAGAAATGGAAGGAGTTGTACACAACGGAGTTTGAATTCACAACAAACTTGACTAGATTAGACCCTCATCTTCAAGCAGTAGCGGTGTTCTTGCCGAAAGACGGCGGCAAATCCATCAATTCGGGTGAAAGCGCTATTTTACAGGCAAGTTCAAGACTTGAAATATTTCATTTTTTTATTATCTAAAATATGGTTTTTAGGTATCAGTAAGAAACTCGTCATCAGCCTCTTATCGTTTCACATCTTTGCAAGCCCAGATCGAAGAACACGGCTTAACCCGATCCACATCACCTCCAATTTTGCCATCATTGACATTAAAAACAGAGAATATTCAGATTCCACCCAATACAAGAAGCGATTTATTTTTCGATGCAACAATCGGTGAGCATGGTCCTGCCAGGGAAAAAGCTTTTCAAGTGGGTTTTTCTCCGTTTTGACTTTCTTTTTTTTTTGAGATCTAATTGATTATTTTACATTTATTATTTTAGGTAACACATATTCGATTGGAGTTCAGCACATCAAATTGGCGCATAAAAGGATTCTTGGAATTCGAAAATAACCTCCAGACGTTAGTCCCTGCAAGTGCAAGGCCGTTACTAAGATCTGTGTTTTGTGGAGATATTGGCACGCATGTTTTGAGGTACGTAAATTTCGTGACTTAAGGTGATCTTGATGACAATTTTTTTAGAGTTTTGCCAACAAAGCCGAAGTTGGAGCTTGTCTGGCCGGAAAGTGACGTCATCTATACGGATGCGGAGAATAAACTGAGATTTGTGCTGAAAAATAATGAAAACACTGCCTTGAAGAATGTAAAGTACGTAATTCTGGTAATTGTATTGTTGTTATTGATTTTAAAAATGAATGACAATGGTTTTAGAATCATGTGCCGCCAATTGGATACGGAAGAAGAGCAACCAGAAGGGTTTGTATTTCCCTCGGTCCTCTTCAATGAACATGGGCAGCAGCAGCCTCGGTTGACTAAAGATGTCGCACCCTATATATCACCGGGCACTGAGATCGATTTTACGTTGAATTGTTTTGTGAAATGTCCGTTCGAATCGCAAGTTCAAGTTAGAGTGAGCAATTTTGGATATTACTTTAAATATTTTTACGTCTACAGTTACATAAATTAGGATACGTTATAGATCCAAGCAACAACTAAGGACCCCAGATATTCGGAGGGATTGATTGAAAGCGCATTCTCTCTTAAATTTGTGGGAAAGAGACCATTTGCACATACGACATTACTATACGCACCTAATGTAAGAATAAATTATATGATGACTAATTTTTAGGATGATCATATTGAATTCCTAATACAAGGGCACGACACTCGGGTAGAATGTGTTTGTAGACCTCATATGGATGTGGAAATAACCAATGCTAGATTTGTTTTACCTGAGGACTTGAGCGTTGACAATAAAAAGTTAGCCGTTCCTGGTAAGTGTGAGAATTAATTTTTGAATAAAGTTGATTCAGATGGAATTCAGAAGGCCAAATCGATTGTAAAATTTGGGACAACACTAAAGGCGCCCACAGAATTGCCCATCACTTCGGACATTGATATTGGGAAGCTAGTCTTGAAGTGGAAACGGTAAGAATAGGTGAAATGGATGTTTAATATGATGGCAATGGAGTAACGGCGTTAATTTCCAGACCCGGAGCAGATAAAATCACAGAATCATGGCTCCCATTAGGTCGAATTCACATCCAGCAATGTCCCCTAAAAATAGAACCCATCATCTGCGGGACGAGCCATATTATGAGGAAACTAATCGAAATGGAATATAAACTCTCCAATTTAACCGACAAGGCGTTACACTTCAAAGTCAATGTGGAAAGAGCCGATTCGTTGATGTTCAGTGGATATACCGAGGCAAGTATTGGAAATGAAAGTAAAACTTTGGTAAAGATACCATTTATGTTTTTCTGTTTTTTCAGAGACAGATTTTCTTAGCTCCGAAATCAAATGAATCCCTCAAGATTGCGGTTATCGCCTTGGGGGCCGGTCAACTTCAAATTCCAAAACTGCAGATCTCCTCAAAAGGAACGGAGTTTGATGAATTGGTACAGAAGTACGCCTTAGGGTATCTGAAGTCAACCATTTTCGTAACGGTGTCATAATTTATTGGTATATATAGAATACGGGGAATGCTAAGTCTGTGATTACACTTGTTTTGTAGATAATAAAGTATTTATTGATTATTCGACAGCGAAATTGGAGGAAGATCTCGAGATATAGAAAAGCAAGCAAGGCGGTAAAGCCCGTAACCTACCGCTTCTTCCTGGAGACAGGAATGTCGAAATAGAACCTCAAGAGACACAGAATTTGATAAAACGGGATTACCTCGGAGCAAGACGAAAGGTAAACGATTCGAAATTTAGTCAGAGATAGAATTTTCTACTCGTAACATCTAATTCCAAGGTTAAGAATTGATATTTCTAACAACTTTTGTAAAGAGGAATAACAGAACTCAACTTCCACAGAATTAATACAGTTCTAATCAAAGAATGCCTTATCCAGTCTACTATCCATGATATGCATCTTGCATATTGTTTGTGACCGAGCCCAAATTCTGCAAATAAAAGAAGCGGTTAATGACAAAGCACAAAAGAGCCAAAAAAATGAAAACAATATATTTTTCAATTTTTTCCTGATGCCGACTAGGTTTGTGAAGATGGTCAGCAAAAATTGAAGAATCAATAAGTGTGTCGTCCCATCCCTACGCATGTCACCCCAGAAGGGATGACGCGATTGCAACTTCGCCAGCAATCAGGAAATATGGGTTAGCTAACAAAATAAACGTTAAAAAACATATATACACTATGTACACAATCACGTCCTTACATACCGTCGAGTCGACGAATCCATGCAATCAGTAATTCCACGACGGCCTCCGCGAACCGCTCGGCGGCCGTCTCCGCCAGCTTCTCAACGACAACTGGAAAAAATCTTATAAAAATGTCCGAAACATCAAATTATAGGGCGCAGCTCACGAGCAAAAAAATGTAAAAAAAAAGTGTAAAAATCGTCCAAACCGTTGCAGGCGAACTCTCCCCCTTTTCTGAAAACGATATAACGAACTCTATGATCCATTCCACTACTCTGTCCGAGATTTTGTCGACTATTTTGTGGAAAAAATCGTATAAAAATGCGCAAAATATAATTGTAGGGCGCAGCTCGCGATCAAAAAATATTTCGCAGCATACCGGAAATTCATAGGCAGATGTAAAGTGTCAAAAGGTGTAGTAAAGTCGTCTAAACTACGTGTTTCAACTGTAAAATAGAAACTAATTTCACTCCGTTTCCTTAAGCATGTCATAATATAAATGGGGCTTACCTTTTACAATCATGTTGTACATTTTCCTTTCTTTTTTCTTTATTGGTTGGGGAAGTTCTAAAATTACAGTAATTTAGTATAGAAAGGTACAAGGAAGATGGCATTATTATATTATTATATACATTGAAGAATAGAAAAGAATATGTCTGATTTTAATTATTTTTTATTGCGAATTTTAAACTTTTCCTCTGGCGGGTCTTGGCATTTGGATTTTCTCGTTGTGACTTGCTTCGAATTTTTTGTATTTGTAAAATACAATGGATATTTTTTCAGCATGTAATAGAAATCGTATAATCTACGTGTCTCAACTGTAACATAGAAACGAATTTCACTATGTTCCCTTAAGCATGTCATAATATAAGTGGGCTTACCGTTTACAACGTATGTGAACATATTTTTTGGCTTGATTGAAGGAAAGTTCTAAAATTACAGCAATTTAGTACAGAAGGAGAAAGAAACATGGCAAAAGAATAGAAAAGAATATGTCTGATTTTTACTATTATTATTGCAAATTTTAAACGTTTCCTCTGGCGGGTCTTGGCATTTGGATTTTCTCGTTGTGACTTGCTTCGAATTTTTTGTATTTGTAAAATACAATGGATATTTTTTCAGCATGTAATAGAAATCGTATAATCTACGTGTCTCAACTGTAACATAGAAACGAATTTCACTATGTTCCCTTAAGCATGTCATAATATAAGTGGGCTTACCGTTTACAGCGTATCTGAACATATTTTTTGTTCTTGACTTGATTTAAGGAAAGTTCTAAAATTACAGCAATTTAGTACAGAAGGAGAAAGAAACATGGCAAAAGAATAGAAAAGAATATGCCTGATTTTTACTATTTTTATTGCGAATTTTAAACGTTTCCTCTTGGCCGGTCTTGGCATTTGGATTTCTCGCGGGATTTTTTGCTCCGAATTTGTTGTATTTGTAAAATACAACGGGTATTTTTTTCACTATGCTTTTGCAGATCGTAAGATAGGCCATATTTCCTTCTTTTTTCAGCCAATTTTGTCTGGAAATTATAAACATGGTCATCACTCACCTTATTTTTTTCGTTTTTCCATCTTGCTTTCAGCGGTTTATAGGGTTCTGCTACACACTTTCCCCGGCGAGAACCCAATTTCGTTCCAACAATACCTTGCCATTGACACTAAATTAGCTATAGGTAAGAGAATAAACTTCCTTATAATTAACATGCTAGAATATGAGAGAGGCGTTGGTCAGCCTTTTCCTTTGTAATAAATACGAAAGGAGGGTCAGATTTGGCGCCAACTCGGCGCGAGGTAAAAGCTTTATCTCTTGCGCAATTGAATAACCAGTACAATTCTTTGCAACTCTATTTTTAATTCTTTTACCGGTTCAGGACTTGTAAGATTATTAGTGATCCTTTAATTATGTTACGTCTTATCCAAATTCACTCGATCGCTCATAATGCGGGATCAATTTTATTTTCATGACGCTTCCTATGATTTTTTAAAATTCATTTCCATTTTCAGAATATAAGTTGAGGCTACGGCTTGGATGGAGCTTCAGATTTAACTGTTATTTGGTCAGATAAACCAACTTATCCGCTTGACTGGATTGGGCGTCTACAACAGTCATGTCAAGAGTATACTCCCAAAGGCTGAAAAATTATTTTTAAAGAGAGATTGGCCATTGAAACGTCAGCCATCGGCGGTGTTTGTCTTGATCGGGTGGAATTGGGACCATTCGAATTAGTGAGAGCAGAAAGTGGAGGTAAGTTTGTTCACATGGGACGTTTGGTAAGCTTTTGCCCAAAAACTCAATTTCTGGGCCACAGGCAGAATTATAAAATTTAATCTGGATGACAAGGGATACTATATGGTCATGAAGAAGCATCCTCCTTTCTTCTGTTCTTTGGCGCCAATTTTTAAATCTAAACGCTTTTCTCTGCAAAAAATCGAAGGGAGAAATTCCCTCGAGTAAGTAAAACGAGCGCTCCGAAAATGCACTCCAACGTTTCTGTTGTTATGCAATACAGAACAGAGATTTCAGGGGTATATAAGGTATTTAAGAGTCGTCATTTGACCATTCTTGGATTTTGCGGCAGATTTATCTCATCACGTTTAATTTTATCGCTGTTGTCGCCTATTTAAGGCCAAGCGTATAGTTTTTTTCGATGTTTACGTAACTGTTTTCAAGATTGTTTATCTCTTTTTGCTCGTTTTTACTTATGTTGTTAGTTTTTTGCAGAATTTGCCGAATTCCCTACCTTTTAAAAACTTATTATGTCTTCTGAAAATGGCACCGTTCTTTCGGTAAACCAAACCGAGAACACTGAGAGTGAAGCTAGGCTAACCAGATCCAAGGCCAGCGAAGGAAACGTTGAACTCAAATTGAAGCCTTTGAGAATGCCTCTGGATGAGCTTGTTAATGATGAAGAAGACGAGGATTACAATCCAAATGAGGAAGATGAGGAGGCGGAGAATGAAGAGGACTTGACTGTCAATGAGAGTATGAAGGAGGATGATGTGGTAAGTTGTGAAACCTTGGATTTATTTGAAAGGTATTGTACAGTGAAACCTCTCAACAACGAACTCTCGTACACCCAAATTTCTATAACAACCAATTTCAGAGTTCCCAAAAAATCAATTTTATGCCCTATTCGTTGTTGACAGGTTTTACTTGCCTTTGTATACTGTATATACATACAATGCAGAAGTATAATCTAAATTAATTTATTCCAGAATGTTTCCCAACTCGAAGCTGAAGCCTCCGCTCCCCTCCGATTTGACGTGGCTCCCGAAATGCTCCGGACAAAAACTCCAGAATATGTGGAATTCGTCCAAAAAGTCTTTAAGGAAAAGTTGGATGAGACGAACGAAAATGAAGAGGATCCGGATTACAATGAAACCGTCGAAGAGGATAATGAAATTGATGTGGAAAACGATGATGAAGGAGAGGATCAAATTGAAGTAGATGAAGACGCGAGTGGTGATGAATATGCGGATGAGAGTCAGGAAGAGGTTGATGTGAGTATGGAGATTCCGAAAGAGGAAGTGGAAGAACTCCATAATGACGCGTATGAAGAGAATTAAAATATTTATTTATATTTTTTTTGTTTAAGCGTGGAATAAATGTGCGTCGTCATTACGAAGGCTTACAATCTAAGGTCATGAGTCGATGTGATATATAAAATAAGTAGAATCACTCAAGGCTGATAAGGAGGGGTAAAATAACAAAAAAAAGAGCTTCTGTAGAGAACAAATGATTTGTGCTTTGACTTTAGCCTTTGGACGGAACTGGGACGATTGGGGAAAAAGACGATTGGGGAAAGGGACGATTGGGGAAAAAGACGATTGGGGAAAAGTACGATTGGGGAAACCGAAAAGTACTATTTTTCTTCCATGCAAATGTCGAAGTTAGGATAATCGAGGGTGCTCATTTCGAATATCGGGTTTATTTTTTCTGAACATTACTAGTTTTCCTTAAGTAGTACTGTTAAGTACTAATTTTTAAAAAATTTTCGAAAAATACTGGATTTAGGGGATTTCGAAGGTGCTGGTTTCGAAAATCATGTTCATTTTTCCTCCAGTACTATATAGTACTATTCTGATACTATATAGTACGAGGTCAAAATATGGCTTTTGACGTTAATGGTGTTGTTTTGATGCTTAGTACTATTCAAAAACACGTTTTAAAGACTTGGTGCTATATAGTACTGTCTGATACTATGTAGTACGAAGTAAAAATAGGCGTACTAAGCACCAGAACAACACCACGAACGCCTAAAGGCCAACTTTGCACCTCGTACTACATAGTATCAGGTAGTACTATATAGCACCAAGTCTTCAAAACGTGTTTTTGAAGAGTACTAAGCATCAAAACAACACCATTAACGTCAAAAGCCATATTTTGACCTCGTACTATATAGTATCAGAATAGTACTATATAGTACTAGAGGAAAAATGAACATCATTCTCGAAATCAACACCCTCGAAAACCCCTATATCGAGTATTTATGAAAAAAAATCAAAAATTACTACTTTACAGTACTACTTAAGGAAAAAAGTAAGAATCAAAAAAATGAATGTCATTTTCGAAATGAGCACCCTCTATCAGTCTGTCGGGAAAAAAACGGCGGATCGTCGCATCAAAATGTCTCGCCTCGCCGCTATCGCGTACCAAATTCCCAGCCGCGGCTTGAAGTCGCAAAGCGATGATGAGCGACTCCGAGGCGCCACGATCCGCCGTTTTTTTCCCGACAGACTGATATTATCCTAACTTCGACATTTACATGGAACAAAAATAATACTTTTCGGTTTCCCCAATCGTACTTTTCCCCAATCGTCTTTTTCCCCAATCGTCCCTTTCCCCAATCGTCTTTTTCCCCAATCGTCCAACTCCCACGAAGGACGGAAAGGTCCGCTGTGCGGAAAGGTCCGCTGCACGGAAAGGTCCGCTGTGCGGAAAGGTCCGCTAAAAAAAAGAAAAGAGGAGGGCGGGGAGGGGGAGGTTTTCGAAGGCGCTGATTTCGAATATCGTATCCATTTTTTCTGAATTTTACAATTTTGCTAAGGCAGTAGTGTTAACTAGTAATTTAAAAAAAATTTTTTTGAGTAATGGATTTAGACGTAAGTTATATTGTACTTGGTGCACACCAAGCTTGGTGTTTTGATTTTTAGGTAGTCTCGAAAAAAATTTTTTTTGAAATGTTTTCGCTTCGAGACTTGGAAAAAGGATTCTTTGTGAAATTTGAATAAAATTTGAAATGTTTTCGCTTCGGGACTTCAAAAAAAGGATTTTTTGGAAAATTCAACAAAATTTTGAAATCTTTTTGCATCGGGAGTAGAAAAAAGGGTGTCTGACTGAATATTAACTGTGGTGCTGCCAGCACTAAAATTTTGTCTAAAACCAATGGGACCACCTGGTACTATATAGTACCACGTGTTTTTGGGCTCTACTAAGCACCAAACCATCATCATTACTGCCTTACGGCCAAATTTTCACTTCTCACTAAACAGTACCAGTTGGCACTATATAGTACCAAGTGTTAAAACGTGTTTCTGGGTTCTACTCAGCACCAAACCAACGCCATTACCGCCTTACGGCCAAATTTGCACCTCGTACTAAATAGTACCAGGTAGTACTATTTAGTACCAAGTGTTAAAAATGTGTTTTTTAAGCAGTACTAGGCACCAAAACAACACCATTAACGTCTAAAAGTGTTATAAGTCGAAAAAATTTCAAAAAGAATCCCTAAAGGTAGTAAAGTTGTAATGGTCGACTTAGAGAATATAGATAAAGTTTATTAGAGAATAATTACAATAGAATTACAAGAGCATTAAGAGAGTGGAAGCGCTTCCTCGAATGATTTCGAGGGCGGCTTATATAGTAGATTGGGTTGTTGTAGTTTGGGTTGCACACATTCCAAACTTGGTTTTTATGAACTCAGTTTCTGCTGAGTCACTTTGTGTCCTCATCCGGTTTCGTAATCCGGAAGCCATCGATCATTATTTCTTCATTGTTTGACGCACGTAATGCGCGTGGTCATTAATCTTGACCTCCTTGGGCGTGGTCTCCTTTGACCACTCCATTCGTAGTGTAGCGGCGGTGTTCACGTGGTTTCCGCACGGCTTCCATTATTTGATCATTACAATATCACGGCCAAGAGATGAACGCGTCTCTGCGTTCCGACTTTATCCGTGGGATATTCTTCAATGTTGTCTTCTGGGGTCTGGTTCGTTCTTGTAGTTGGTTACAGTAATGGGGCCAAATGCTGTCGATGGAGTTAGTGCTGGTGCGTTGTATGTTTACTGGGGGCGTGTCCAGCCGGTCAGGGAGCCACGGAGATCAGAAGAACTGATTGATCGGAGTTTGGAAGTGAGCAACCTTTGAATCTTTTTTGGACAAGAATTTTTGAGAATAAAATAAGATTTTTGGCAAGGCCTTTTCTTAGGGGGGGAAATTTTGGAGAAAGATGATTTCATTGTGATATGGGATGGGGAGAAAGTTTTAAAGGTGGGAAAGAGTGGAAGGCAGAGGAGAAAAAATTTCGGTTTGTGAATAATATGGTAAGTGTGACACACAATCAAATTCTTAAATTTATGAAAAAGAATTATAATGAGAAAAAGGGAAATTTGGGAACGATGGTTCAATTACGTAGTAAGACGTTGTTTTTAGAAAAGGTGGGGTTTATTTCTATATCGTGCTGTTGGTATTCCCTCTTTTATTTATTTTTTTTTTCTTTTTTTGAATTATATCTCTGATAAATGGGGAATATAGAATTTGGTACTAGGATTATAATAGTTTTTGTGAGGTGAAAAAGAATTTTAATACTATTGTTTTTTGTTACGATTATATTTTTTATATTTTCTATTTCTTTTCTTAACTATGTAGCTATATATAAAAAAATATTTGCATAATAGGCATAGTGCTTAAATGCTGCTTTCTTGCCCTAGGATGGGGCTCGAATCACGAGTAAAATATAGCTTACATTTGTTCACGTGAGTAGTTGTAATTTTTCTTGGGTCACTTAGGAGTCGCGCTTTTATGATTGATCGGCCACTTTCCATAACGCGGAAGGGTCCGATCCATGTGGGTTGGAACTTCGATTTTTTGGCGGGGTCGATGATCAAAATTAGATCATTTTTTGTGATTGTTTTCTGCGAGGAAGGAGCTGATGGTATTGGGGCGGAGTCGTCATTCTGATCGTCGGTTCGGTGGGTTTGTAGCGCGGCTTGCTCATAGGCGTTGTTCATGGCCATAATATGTTGCATGGCCACGTCTGTTTCACCATAAGTTGTGCGGCGTTGCGAAAAGGTGCGAAGAAGTAAGTCACTTGGGAGTAGTGGGTCAAATCCGTGCATTAGGAAGAACGGGGTCTCCTTGGTGGTAGCATGCGGAGATGTGTTGTATACAAAGACCATTTTTGATAAGTGTAGGTCCCAATGGGTACTGTAGTCCTCGGCTGCCGTTTTGAGCATGACGGCTAGTGTTCTATTTACCCTTTCCACTTGACCATTCAGATGCGGCGTGTTTACCGGGGAATATTGATGTTTAAATCCATAGTGTTTTCCTAGCTGCACGAAAAGTTGGTCGGTGAACTGGCTGCCATTATCGGAATATAAGAGTTCCATAATTCCGAATTTTGTGATTACGCTTTCCATGAATGCGTTGATGACAGTCTTAGTTTCTTGGTTTGGCATCGGGGAGACCATGACGTATTTGGTGTGCGCGTCAATAGAAACCAAAATGTAACGGTTTCCATTTTCAGTTTGCGGAAGTGGTCCTTTGATGTCGATATGAACGCGGTGAAAGGGGAATAATGCTGGTTGAAAGGGGATGGTTTTCGCCAAGGTCTTGTCTCCGGGGTTCACCTTGTTGATTTGGCATTGGGGACAAGAGCTGATGTATTGTTTCATGTCGCGAACCATTCCGTCCCAGAATACGCGTTTTTTGAGGTTTGCAATACTTTTCTGTAGACCTTGATGAGCTCCTTGAAGGTGGTCATCGTGGAAATCAGTTAATATTTTTGTCCTTAATTCTTTGGGAATGTAAATGCGGGAAATCCCTTTTTTGTAATGATGCAAAACATCATCAATGAATCGAAAATTTTTGAGTTTTAGTTTGAATAATTTAAGACGTCCTTTAGTAAGTTCCGGAAAAATTTTGTTGTTGATTGCGTTCGCAATTTCTATGCAGGTGGGATCGGTTTGTTGAGCGTTTTTAACCGTATTTTGGTCTAAGTAAAATATATTTACAAAAGAGACAGGTTGGTAACGGCTAACGTAGTCAGCAAAAGAATTTGATTTTCCGGATCTATGTTCTATTAGAATATTATACTGTTGTATGGCTAGTTGATATTTAGCTAATCTTCCCTGTAAATCTTTGCGTTTTAAAAGTGATGTGAGTGCGCTGTTATCTGTTCGGATAAGGGTGGGAATATGACCTTCAATATATGGCCTAAATTCTTTTAGTCCGAATACTATTGCTAATGCTTCGGTTTCTACGGCGGGATATTTGGCTTCAAATTTGTTTAGTTTCCGGCTAGCGTAGGCTATGGGTCTTGGAAAGCCATGGTCATTTTTCTGTAGTAATGTTGCTGCTAAACCCCATGCCGAGGCATCTGTTTCTATTATGTAAGGCCTATCTTGGCGTGGTGGGGCTAGCGTTGGAGCTTTCTTAAGGGCTTCTATTACAGCTTTAAATGCTTTGTCTTGGGATTCGGTCCAGCGACTGGGAATAGAGTCTCCTTGTTTTGTTAATTCGTAAAGGGGTGCCATTATAGTGGCGAAACCTTCGATAAAACGGCGAAAATAGCTAACGGCTCCGATAAAGCTTCTTAGTTCTGTTAGTGTTTTTGGAATTTGAAATTTTGCAACGGTTTCTACATTTTTAGGGTCCGGTCGTATCCCTTTTTCGCTAAGTAAAAATCCTAGATATTTTACTTCGTTTTTGCCGAAGAAGCATTTTTAAGTGATAGTTTGAGTCCTTTTGATCTTAGTGCGCTAAAAACTTCCTCGAGGTCCCTAATATGGTCATTTTCGTCTGTACTGGAGACGCATAGATCATCAAGATAAATAAAAATCTTAGCTGTGAGTTCTCCTTTTAGGTGATCCATGATTCTTTGCATTGTTGCGGGCGCGGCTGTTAATCCAAAAGGCATTCGTAGGTATTGAAATAATCCCATATGCGTGATGAATGCGGTCTTCTCAACGCTTCCCGGAGCTAGCGTAACTTGGTGGAAGGCTTGAGAGCAATCCAAGGTTGAGAAATACTTGTGGCCGGCTGTAAGATCAAGGATCTCTTGGATGTTGGGTAGGAGTTGAACACGTTTAACGGTGTTTTGGTTAAGTTGGCGGTAATCGACGCAAAGACGGTAGGTGCCGTCTTTCTTCTTTACCATTACGATTGGTGATGCGAAGGGGGATGATGATTTTTCGATGATTTTTTGGTCCAATAATTGTTTGAGTTGTCGTTCAATTTCGGATCGGAGTGGAAGAGGGACGCGATAGGGTCTTTTGCGAGGGATGTCCTTCGGGTTGATGAGCTCGATTTCGTGTTGAATAGGTCCGGTATATTGACCAATTTTTCCATCAGTTCCAACGAAGACATCAGAGTAACGATGAATCAACCGGGTTAGGTACTTCTTTGCATTTTCGGATAATATCGAATCTTCCAAATCCGGGTTCAATTGTTGCTTGGGCTGTTTTCCTGCCGGGGGAAGAGTTTCAATGTAGTCCAGTTCAGGTGGTACGTGGATTTGCTGAGGGGATTGTACGAACATTATTGGAAATGATTGTTGTTGGGGCACTTCGGATAATGTTCCAATTGTTTGATTCTTCCGTAGGGTTACTGGGGCGTAACCAGCGTTTATAATTGTTACGGGGACGTAGTTGGGAGTAGCCAAACGACATAATACTGCTGCTGTTTTGACCATTTCGTTAGTTGTGATGGCGTCTTCAATGAGCACTGTCCTTCCTGGAGGTGTCGTGAGTGTTTTTGCCACGATAAAGTTATCTGAGCGTGGTGGAAGGTGTTCGTCCTGATTAAGTACAATTTTGCAGGGTTCCGTAGTGAGGTTTGTCTCCAGGTTGAATACGAACGGAAATATTTCGTCTCCGATGTTGATGGTGTTTTGGTTTAGATCGAAATTCACGGAGTGTCCTTGGGCACAAACTTTTCGAAGTGTATCTGTGCCTATCAACAATTCTGACGGGCAGTGGTTGTCTTCAGATACCAACATGTGTATTTGTAGGTTTAGCTGTCGGAATGAAACGTCAGCTTGTACTTGACCAAGAAATTTGAAGGTCGTGTCATTCACGGCACGTGCAGTAGCCATCGCTTGGAGGGGAGATATGGAAAGTTGCAGCTTCCTGGCAAGCGATTGTCGACAGTACGTAATGGCTGAGCCGCTATCCACTAATGCGGCGACCGGTTTGCCTTTGATGTGTACGATAATCTTGGGTTGCGTTCCTGTTTGGATCGAGTAGACTGGAGGTACGTAAACATGGTCGAGGCATGGTGCTGAAGGTGATACATCTTGCATTTCTACAGCGTTGACTGGGTTATATTCTTGGTGTCGTTTAACATGTCTGAGAAAAGTGCTGATGTAAGGACCGTAGAGGAATAGTGCTACTCCGAGGGCCAATACTGATAGAACAGCGACTGTGATTTCTTCCCAAGTGTCCAAATTCGGGAAGAAAAAGTCTATCACGGCGTCTTTCCATCCTTTTACTACTTCCATGGTTAATAGAGATGAAGTTGCTCCTTCACTACTTCCGTCGGATACAAGTTTGAGTTCTGGGGTATCACTTTCTTGAGTAGCTTGTAGTGTAGTTTCCAGTCGGTTAATTTTGTGTGCGTAGGAGTTTAGAATGGAGGTAGAAACGACTAATCTGGTCCATTGTGGTTGGTAGATTGATGCTGATGAAAAGGTAGGTAAGGTGTCGAAGTTTAGTTGAGTTAGCGCTCGGTCGATTTGCATCACATTGGCGTGTCCGATGGGAGAAGTCCAGGTGCCATCGGCTTGTCGGTACACATTGACAGGAATTTGATCACAGGGTATTCTTGTAGAGTTGTATTGTAATTCGTAGGTGCCGAGAGGTGCGAAATATGTTTTGTTGTTATATTCCACTGGGACATCGGTCCAGCACGAATCTCCGTATTTGTGATTCCAATGAACAATGTCAGGTTTGATTGGTTCGCAAGTAGAGACAGCGAATGCTTCGCCGGAATGGTAAGCGATAACGTCATCTCTGTTAAGCCAAGATCTGACGGCTAAAGTTGGGTTAAGTTTTGACAAAGCTGTGATGATGGCCACATTTTGATTGTGAATGGAACAGATGTGAGCAAATAAGTTTGCGTACTCATCGCGGATAAGTTTAGTTACCGTGAGGCTGAGGTATTCCAGTTTTACATTAGTGGGGTCATTTGCTTCGTAAGGAGGTGCCGGTGAGGGAAAGGTTTGGGCTTCAATCGGAGAATTTTGTTTCCGAGTAGTATGCGGAAGGGAGGTAGATGTCATTGGTGCCATTGTAGTTTTTCCCGTGATGGAAATAGGTGTCGTTACGGTTGAGGTAGCTACTTTCGGGGTTTCGTCACTTCTTTCCGGATTTTTCATGGTTTTTGACGTATTATTTGTTGAGGATCGCGCTTGGACGTTGATGGGATAGTAAGGTCCCTGGGCTTTTTGTACTGGGGGAATTATGTAGCGATTCCGATCCTGAACTCGGGTTTCGATCGCTGATAATGGTGATGTTGGGGCATTTCCTTGGGTAGTCCTTGAAGTGGTTGATGCTGGTTTTGTGTCTCCGATTCGAGGTTGTTCCTTGAATTCGAATCGTTTTGTTCTGAGCTTCGAAGCGGTTGGGTATTCTGGGTGAAAGGAGATGAACACGTCATTTTCCATTCGATAGGTGTTAATAGGGTAGCAAAACGAGTCGTGGACGTCTGTATCTGTTTTGTTGAATACGAAGGCAGCTTGGAGTCTTTGGATTATCACATAAGTGTCAGAAGCTAAAGCCAGAAAATGTCCAGCTGAAGTATGTGAGCAGAAATCTTTTGTGTCCGTCACATTCCAAACTGTTGTACCTTGGTTCGTAACACAGAGAGCATCGTTGTAATGACAGTTATGTAGATTGTCGATTTCGGAGGATACAGTTATCCCGTTTCTGGAATGTATTAGTCCTTTTGTTACCGTAAATTGAAGTTTTTCGCGGCAACGACTTCCAAAAACTGCGTATTGGGCGTTGATGAATCCTGAGGATTGCCAAACATTTTCGTCAAGTCGATAAAGTGTTTGGTTGTATAGCGTCATTCGTTGGATCAAGGTCCAACATTCGTTGGCTGTTAAACTGTGATGTTGACTTGGTGTCAGTCTTTCAAATGCAGCGATACCAATTGAAAAGGTGCATCGTGTTACTTTCTTAGCCTGGCAGTGATAAGCTTCTTGGTAATGGGGTCCCAGTTGTGGTACAAAAATTTCGACGTTTGTTTTTCGTACTGGAGTGTCGTCGGCTACTGTGCAATCTTCTTTCCTCGGAGGAGCGAGATATAAAGCTCCTTTGCGTAAAGGGCAGAATTGAAATTGGGCCATAGTCAGCGGTAGTACGGATAGAGCGGCCAGGGCAACGATTGTCAGCGAGGGCAACAAGGCGTTAATGCCATAACGGGTTGGTCGAGGGTGATTGGGCCGGTTCCTGATATTGGAGTTTTGATTATTGGATTGTGGACGGTAGTTGGCACGGGGTTGATAATTGGAACGGCTTGTGTTGTTGTTGAAGAAGAAGGGCTTGGATGGTCGGTTGTTGTTGTTGAATTTTGAGAAGAAGCGGTTGAATGGGCGGCGTGGCTGCCAATTTTTGTTGAAACGGTTCATTTGGGCATGAGGTGGTTGGACGGGTTGTAACTGGTTGATGGAGATATTTCCACCTGCGTTGATGAGTCCATCACGTTTCAATTCTTCTTGAAGTTCAATTTCGGATATGGCCATGTCCAAAGCTTTCTGGAGGGTTTTTGGGCGTTCTTTGCGTAGTAGTTTGGCTTTGACGACTGGTAATAGGCCAGAGAGGAAGATATCTACCATAATTTCTTCCTTGAACGCGTCGGTATAAGATGTGCTTTCTGGATATCCTAATTCGACAAGGTCCCTAATGGCTTGAGCGAATTCGGAGGGGGATTCGTTTGCGCGTTGTTTGCGAGCTAGCGCGCGGCGTCGGAAGTTTGAAGTTAGTTGGGTATTTGCAAATTTTTTGGCTAGGAGATTTAGAATGGGTTTTAATCCTAATTCTTTTTTTCGTTCAGCAGGTGGTATGCTTTCGTAAATAATAGCTGCTTCACCCCTGAGAAGAGCAGGTAAAGTGGTTAAGTATGCCTCATCGGTCCATTTGAGGGCTGTGGCTACTCTATTTAATTCTCGTATGAATTCTTGGAAAGTTCTGGGATCAGTTCTTCCAGTATACGTAGGTGGTGCTATATGCGCAGCTAAAGACATGGCGCCTAGTTGATTAGCTAATGCGGATAAGTCTGGTGGTGAATTATTTGACATATCTGAATCTGTTTGGAAAATTTGGGTTATTCGCCTAGGGGTAGGGATATAAAATCGGTGAGGGGTTTTTTCTTTAGAATTTTCTGAATTATTTTCTGGAGAATTTGAAAGGGAAGAGTAATCTGTAGCGGAAGTTTTAGTAGAGCCGCTATCGGGAGTTTTTGATTTTTTGGATTTTGTAAATGTAGCTGCTAATGAGTTATATAATCGCGATAGAGAAAATGGGTGGTTAGTTTGGGTACCTGGGGATCTGTTTGGTTTTGCCGGCTGTCGCCCTTCGTCACTATTTCTGGGATTTTCTTGGTTTGAACTGGCTGGTTCCGCGGGAGTATTCTTCTGTAGATTTGGCGCGTGGGAAGTTGATGGCGCGTCTGCGTTTCTTTCAACGTAATGTTTTGACTTTCCAGGTTCTACGACGTCTGATTTCTCAAGGTAGCTATTTAAATCTTCAGGATCTGCAAGATCTTCTGGGGATGAATCGGCTCCGTCTGATAAAATATGGTTTCCTTCGGCTGCTTGTTTAAATGTAGAGGTAGATTTGGTTCTTCTCGGGACAACGGTTTTGGGAGGGGTTGTCTTCTTTATTCGTCGTGCTACTGGCTTGGTTACGGTTTTTGCGGGCGGTTGATTATCGAGGTCTGAACGGCGTCTTGAACTTGCTGTTGGGCGTAGGTAGCTGGGGACGGCCTTAGCCTGTGTTTGGCTCCTGGTTTGGACCACGGTGAATTATGTAGCGGAAGGGCAGCGACAGTGACTTTCTTTTTGGCCAAATTTTGGGTTGTACAACACTTTTGCCAAGGAATTAATTAAGCCAGCGACCCCCACAAGTGGGAATTAATTCAGGTGCTGACCCTTGGCTTTTAGACAATGAATACTACGGTGGAGTTCGAGGTGCGGACCTCCACTTTTTGTAATGGTCGACTTAGAGAATATAGATAAAGTTTATTAGAGAATAATTACAATAGAATTACAAGAGCATTAAGAGAGTGGAAGCGCTTCCTCGAATGATTTCGAGGGCGGCTTATATAGTAGATTGGGTTGTTGTAGTTTGGGTTGCACACATTCCAAACTTGGTTTTTATGAACTCAGTTTCTGCTGAGTCACTTTGTGTCCTCATCCGGTTTCGTAATCCGGAAGCCATCGATCATTATTTCTTCATTGTTTGACGCACGTAATGCGCGTGGTCATTAATCTTGACCTCCTTGGGCGTGGTCTCCTTTGACCACTCCATTCGTAGTGTAGCGGCGGTGTTCACGTGGTTTCCGCACGGCTTCCATTATTTGATCATTACAAAGTAACAGAAACCCAGTTTTCATATTCAGTCAGTTCATACTCAGTCAGCTCAAAAAAATTTCAAATTTTATTCTAATTTCACAAAAAATCATTTTTTTCCATGTCCCGAAGCGAAAACATTTCAATTTTTTTTCAAATTTCACAAAAAATCCTTTTGTTTCGTGTCCCGAAGCGAAAACATTTCAAATTTTATTCAAATTTCACAAAAAATCCTTTTGTTTCGTGTCCCGAAGCGAAAACATTTCAAATTTTATTCAAATTTCACAAAAAATCCTTTTGTTTCATGTCCCGAAGCGAAAACATTTCAATTTTTTCAAATTTCACAAGAAATCCTTTTGTTTCATGTCCCGAAGCGAAAACATTTCAATTTTTTTCAAATTTCACAAAAAATCCTTTTGTTTCGTGTCCCGAAGCGAAAACATTTCAAATTTTATTCAAATTTCACAAAAAATCCTTTTGTTTCCAGTCCCGAAGCGAAAACATTTCAATTTTTTTCAATTTTTACAAAAAATCCTTTTTTTCCCACCCTCTTCTTTTTCTTTTTTTAGCGGACCTTTCCGCAGCGGACCTTTCCGTACAGCGGACCTTTTGGTTTAGCGGACCTTTCCGTACTCAATCTCCAACTCCGCCTTTGGACGTTCCTCTTACTTCATTTTTTATAACATTCCTGGTGGATTCAAAAAAAGAAATATGACGATCTACCTGGCCAGAATTTTGTCTTGAATCAAATAATTTAAATTCTTTTATCCTCTGGCGTTATGTAATGCAATTTTTAACGGAATAAACTCTAAAAAAGAACTTTTTCGCAGTCCTAGTGTTTTTTGAAAAGATTGTAAAACGGAAAGGGAGGGAGGGTTTTGTTTCGGCGCTCTCAAAAATGTTTCACGTCAACTAAACTACATTTAACGGTTCGACTTTTTGGATCGTTGTGCTCACACACGTATCTTGTGCTCGATATTGTTTAACTTAACCAGTAATTTTTCTGATAAAGACGCACAAATATTAGTTTTTCAAAATTTAGGTGCGCCGTTCAGTTTTCGTTTCCAGGTCCTTGCAGAAATCTTCTTTATAAAAATTTTTCTACAGAACGATTAAAAACGCTTTGTTTTTTGAGGATTGTCCTAAAAGTTTGCTTCAACTTTTTGCTGCTTTAATTATCCCCGTTATAATAATTTTTCAGGATGATGATGGTCCTTCTAGTCATCGTTCTCCTGATCTCGGCCTACCTTTTCTATCACCTTTATTACAAGCGGATTGGGCTTCCGCCAGGTCCAATGCCATATCCAAAAGTTGGGAATACAATGGATATGGTCGGGGAAAAAGAACCGGAAAAGATTTTTGATGAATATAAAGCCAAATATGGAAGTGTGGTTACATTTTGGATTGGAAATACCCCAATGATCCTGCTGAATACAAAGGAATTGGCCGATGAATATATGATAAGACAAGGCGACATTTTTGTGGATCGGATTGCACTGGATCCAGTAATGAAAATAATCCGAGGAGGAGAGAGTGGACTCATCAATATGTCTGGGGATTTGTGGAGAAATCAACGGAGGTTTGCCTTGAAAGTGATGAGGGATTTTGGACTGGGAAAAAGCGGAATGGAAGAGAGGGTACGTTAAAGAATCACGTGTTGGATACACCAATTAAATTTGCAGTTACTGTCTGAAGCTTTATTCATCTGCGAAAAAGTTAACAAAGATATTGATGCGGGTCTTGAAGACATTGACTTGAAAAAATACCTTGATCTGGCAACTGGCTCTGTCATCAATACGGTGGTTTGTGGGGAAAGCTTTACAGCGCTAGTAAGTTTCTTTTAGAACCTCTCCAAAGCTTTAGCAAGAGTCCATCCTCTCATTAATGGTATGACTTTCAGAATAAAGAAGACGATTTCTATAAGATTCAAGACATCATGAATATCGTCAACAATGGTGGCGACGACCAGTTCGCCATGCTCCTTTTTCTCTTCCCATTTCTGTTACAGGTTCCATATATCAATAAACGAGGACTTGCTTTGATTGAGAAGATCCAAGGCCTCCTGAAACACATTGACAAACAAGTTGATGACCATCTTCAGAAGAATAACTATTCAGATCAGTCAATGGAACCGAGAGATTTCATCGATGCTTTTATGTTGGAAAAGGCCAGATTGGAGGAAAATGGGGAGGATGCAGGCTACTTTACCAAAGAACAATTGAGAGGAACGGCGATCGATCTATGGTTTGCCGGGCATGTAAGAAAACACTTTAAATCACGATGTAAGCCTCGTTGCAGGACACAACAAGTGCCACAATGAGTTGGATTGTGTCGTATCTTTGCTACCATCAAGAAATTCAAAATAAACTTCACGATGAAATCGACAGAGTGATCTCATCTGACCGTCAGATTCGAACTTCTGATCGTCCAGACCTCCCATATTTGCTGGCCTTTATAACGGAGGTCCAAAGGTTGGCAAACATAGTTCCGTTCAACGTCCCGCGTGTGACAACTGAGGACGTAAACATTGATGGATTCCACATTAAAAAAGGAACTGCAGTTTTGGCGCAGATTGGCACAATCATGAGAGATGAAAAGGTAACCCTTTGTGCCTTCGTCAAATAAATTTCGGATCAGTTTTCTGTCAAAGGAATTTATAGAACTTCTCGTCGCCTTTCGAATTCAAACCCGAGCGCTTTATCGATAATAACGGAAAGTTTGTTGCCAATTCAGCGGTACTACCATTCTCATTGGGAAGGAGATCATGCCTTGGAGAAGGTCTGGCGAGGATGGAGCTGTATCTATTTACTGCCAACCTCCTGAATCAATTCAAAATTCTGCCAGGAAAGACGCCACCAACACTGAAGAAAATAAAACCAAGTTCATTCCATGCTGCTTTGTACACTTGTAAAATGGAGAAGAGATATTAGACTCTATGTTATCATTTTTTGTAAACCTGCTGCTAAAATGAAATAAAAACGACATGATATTCGCCGCAAGTGTAGAAGAAAAATTTTGTTCAAAAGATGGACATCAACATGAAAGCATTGAACAAGTTATTAGCATCTTATTCAGCGTTAAAATTTGCTAAATTAAGACAAAGATTGGGCCACATGATGAATAAGAAGGCAATTAAAGCGCGGAGCAGATTTAGCGACCTCAACTTCAAACCCGCAAGTTTCAGCTTTTTTGGAGCCAAATTGCGCCCGTACCAGGCCGAACACTCTGATATTACACTAGTCACTAATAAAAAATAAAGTGAATTGGAGATGTCGGAGTGAACTGGCGTGACCTACACCGTTCGAAACATAACAGAATGAAATTTCAAACCCGCAAGTTTCAGCTTTTTTGGAGCCAAATTGCGCCGGTACCAGGCCGAACACTCTGATATTAC